ACCACACGTGATCCGTTGGACCCAGCTACCCACATCCCTTTTAGTGTTGACCACTGTGGGAGAGAAGCTTTCATTTATTAGTCTAGACAGGGCTGAAGGTCCCCACTTATCTGTGTCTGCCTGACTCTAAGAACTTGGCTTTTTCTTCCAAGCAGAGTCAATATATCACATCAGCGTTTGGTAAACCCCCTCCTTATACGCAGCCTGGAGTGGAAACAAAAGTGGCAAGGAATCTTCCCTGGACGGTGACCTTGCTGCAGTGGCTGAACTGGAACAGCACCTTTGCAGCTGCCCAGATTCCCTTTAAAAACAAAAACTAAACAGCAGCACACTTGAGCCTTTTAAAATGCCACATCCAGCCATCCTCAATAGAGACTGTTTAGGTTTGCCTGCTACCAGCCCAGAGGTCCTGTCTGTCCCTTTTAAAATGCCAGCAAAGCGAGAGATGATGCAGCCCAGAGGAAATCAATCCCATTCCCACAAGAAAAGGAAGATGGTGGGCACACAAGCCAGTGGAATCTACCCTAAGACATCTTCTGAAGCCCTTGCCTGGGTTCCACCTCAGAGAGATGCTTAAAGGTAAAGGTAAAGGGACCCCTGACCATTAGGTCCAGTCGTGACCGATTCTGGGGTTGCGGTGCTCATCTCGCTTTATTGGCCCAGGGAGCCGGCGTTTGTCCGCAGACAGCTTCCGGGTCATGCGGCCAGCATGACTAAGCCGCTTCTGGCGAACCAGAGTATCACACGGAAACGCCGTTTACCTTCCCGCTGGAGCGGTACCTATTTATCTACTTGCACTTGGACGTGCTTTCGAACTGCTAGGTTGGCAGGAGCAGGGACCGAGCAACAGGAGCTCACCCCATCATGGGGATTCGAACCGCCGACCTTCTGATCGGCAAGTCCTAGGTTTTGTGGTTTAACCCACAGCGCCATCCGAGAGATGCTTAGGCAACATTATTCCATGGTGCATTATTCTATTTTATTCTCACAACAACCCAGTGAGGTAGGTTTGACTGAGAATGGGTGGTTGCCCAAGGCTACCTAGTGAGTTTCATGGCCAAGCAGAGACTTGAGCTCTGTTCCCCACACTCCAAGTCCTTATCTACTGCCTGCGCCTCAGCTCTGCACCCACACTGCTATTCAAGGGCACAACCCCTAACTCCTGCTGCCCCTTCTCCAAGCTCTCCCCCAGGAGAGCCACCCCCAGAGGCTTAAATCTGTAGCGACCACTTGGCTAAGGGCTGCATACTTGCTGCACACAGAAACAGACTATGTAGCACCATTGATATAAGAGACTGGCTCAGCCTGTCAAAGAAAAAAGAAAAAGAAAAAGCACTGCTTATTCCCGCTATTAATATCAAGAATGTGTCAGAATTTCCATTCTCAACCACTAATTTTGTGGGTTTATGACTCTGCCATAAAAACACACCTCTTGGCTGAATTTTGGCATGCTGGCCTGTAGCTGGTCTTGAAAGCCATGTTAACACAAAACATCCATCCAGACACTGGTGAAATTCCTGTATTTCGAATACACTCGTTCCTTTTCTTTTTCATTTCTTTTTTAAAGTTCTTAAATCTGTAAGCAGTATCGGGGCCCAACAGCCGCCGTGGGACTGTGTGGAAATGATTTTGCTCAGAATGCACCACTGTGCTCCTAATGGTTGTTCTCTTAACGGTTGTGCACACACCCGTTGTGCACACACAAACACAAGCCCTTGTCTTTGCATCCCCACCCCTTCGGTTTGAAACTACCTTAATTGTTATGGCATCCCCCCAAGGATCATGCAAATAATACTTTTGTTCATGTAGACATTTCCACATTCAAACCAGATTGAAATCATTTTGTTTGTCATGGTTCCCTCCTTGTAGGAACTGTCGTTTTGTGAAGGTGATGATAAGGAATTATGATGGATAATTGTCTTGTTCAGTGTAACTCCAGTTCTCAGGCTGAGAACCGTGATGATTATACCAGCTTGAAACTGGTAGTGTGGGTGTGATTATAGATGGCAGTCTTCTCCCTTGGAATTGCAGGTTTTTAAAGCTTTGTCCGTTTTGCACTAGGAGATTACAATGTTGCTTTGATTGATGTTTTAATGGAGTTCTCCATGAACACTTGGCACATTGACACCAGAACTTAGAAAGCCAATGTGCTACATTCTTAAATTGACAAAAAGTAACGCTGCTTTGTTACTTGATTGAGCCTCCTTGTTTATTTTAAAATTTGAATGCCACTTTTCTGTATAAAGATGTTCAAAGTGGCTTACTACAAAACAACAAAAATGCAAACATCATCACAATAGCAATTAAACAGGAGATCATTTCAAAACACAACACGACAATCCAGTCTAAGCATACATTGTAATGAGACTTGATCTTAGTCCCACTCGAGGTGAAGGGTGGCCTCATCCCTGACCATTAGCCATGCTGACTGGGGCTGAGCTGGAGTCCAGCAACATCCAAAGAGTGCGGAAGGCCGGTGGAGAACCGTTTGTGGTGGCACCCTTGTTAGGGAACTCTTTTCCCCATATAGTTTAGAGAGGCCTGCTCTGTGTTGTTGGGTTTTTAGGAAAGCAGGAAGACCCTTTTATAACAGTGATGAGGTATTTTGGAATCGCTCTAATTTTTCTAAGATGCGATGAAGATGGCTTAGTTATTTTGTAACTTTAATTGCTGTTGGTCTTGGCATTGCTACAATGTTTTGCTGGCTTTATTGATGGGCTTTATTTGATGTTTTATTGATGGGATTATTTATTGTATGTTATTGGTTGTATTAAGTGTTGTTGGCCGCAGTTTCTATTCTTGGGAATGATACAGATCTCAAATAAATAAACACGACTACTGCTTCTTCTAATTATTAGTACGTTGAAGAAGAGTCACTTTCTGTTTTCACTGATAGTCCACAGACCTCTTATTACAAACGCTTTTGAGTAATAGTTTCATGGAAACCACTGCTATTTTTCTAGAAAAAGAGGTGCCGGAACTCACCATGAACGCTTCCCTTCTCTTATAATGGCAATGGCACCCACCTGAGAAAGGGCCAGAACTGACTTCCAGCAAATTCCAGCTGAAAATAAAGCCCTGATAGCAACCCAGTATAAATATTATTATCAATTAAATCAGGGGTCAGAAAACTTTTTCAGCAGAGGGCTGGTCCACTGTCCCTCAGACCTTGTGGGGGGGGCTATATTTTTTTGGGGGGGGAATGAATTCCTGTGCCCCACAAATAACCCAGAGATGCATTTTAAATAAAATCACACATTCTACTCATGTAAAAACACCAGACAGGACCCACAAATAACCCAGAGATGCATTTTAAATAAAAGGACACATTCTAATCATGTAAAAACACGCTGATTCCCGGACCGTCCATGGGCCGGATTTAGGAGGCAGTTGGGCCGGATCCAGCCCCCGGGCCTTAGTTTGCCTACCCATGAATTAAATCAATAGATCTAATTTTCAGTATTACCCCTTCCTACCACCACCCCAGCCTCCAAAAACATTTCTTATAGGAAAAACATTGTTCCAAGGCACCAGAAGTGAGTCCATTGTGAGTGGTAGTCCATTTAATGTATTATAATGGTTATCATGTCACCATAAATTTATCATCTTCTCCTTTTCCAGCTAATGCATTGCCTTCCTCAGTTAACTTTTTGGAGGGCACCAGTGTCCATACTTTCTGTTTCCACTGTGACAATTCCAAATGTTCTAGGGTCTTCCAGTTTTGAGCAATCAGTTGCCTAGAGGCTACTAAAATGAATGTATCTTGAGATAACTTCTTAATTCGTAGCAACAAGATAGATAAATGGATAAATGATGGGTTGCTTTATCCTTTTCGTGGTATCCCAGGTAGATTTTTTTTCTTTTCATTTTGGTAGGGGCTGTATCCACAACAACTAGAAAGGTCAGGACTTTTAAAAAAAAAGGTTTTCAAAATCAGTTATTGGGCTTTTAAATGCCAGAATCGCAGGGTTTACATTTCAGCTATTTTTACTTATCAGTTTAATATCCTTTTAAAAGATTATGGTATTTGCACCTCAGCATTTTCTTCAGTTGCATTTGCTGTATTTAATGCAATACTAAAGGTACTGCGAGGACATATTTTAAACTAGCAGGTCCTTCAGACTTTCTACTTATTAAATTAGTTTAAGTATGTGAAATTCTGAAAAGAGATTCAGCCTGAAACGTAAAATTCTGCAGCCCCAAGTTCAGGCCTGGGCAGAAAGAGCAAAACAGACGTCCTGCTGTAAAAAAGCCATTTAATAATGTATTAAAATGCCATTGACTCGAACACTCTTTTTAAAAAAATGCACACTGTGAAAACAAATGGCTTTCAAATAATTAGGATCTTATGCCCAAGTTCAGAGCTGATCTCTGTGCAGAGATTTTCCTGCTACAATCAGGCCAGTCCAAATCTGATCGTCTCAGGGGGGAATTAGCAGCACATAAATCAACTGGTGTTGGATTTTTCCCTCCTCTTTTGGCCATGTCAATGTACATCTTGGGACTGCGAAACGCTGCCAACAGTCTTTGACATACTTTTGCATCACTCATAGATGCACTTGTTAGGATCCTCCTTTTCCTTTAAAGCAAAAAAGTAAGTTTCTAGCCCTCATTGGTGCAGAGAGCAAACGTATCAAAAACAAGGAGGCAAGTGCAAATCTGACTCTGTTCTACAACTTCTGTGTTTTCTGAGGACTCCTGCCAGCATTCCTTTAAATCTGTTTGGATCCTAATATACTGCTTACCTCCTTTATTAATATAATGTTTACAGCCTGTCTTAGCCAGACAGTAAGTATTGTGACAAAAACGCAGAAGTCCATGTTTACCCAGCTATGAGTGCAGCAGGTCTCAGGTTCAACCCCTGGCCATGGCTGTTGCTATTTGTTATTTAGTATTTGCACTTCATTTTTTAAAAAGTTGGAGTTTTAAAAAAGAATAAATAAATAAGTCAATATGTAAATTCATGAGCGTGGCCAGGTGTTGTTGTTTTTAACCAAACATACCCCTAATGCATTCTTGTAACAGTGATTCCACATCTCAGCTTGTCATCAAAAGTGATGTTTGTGTGTTCCAGAATTTTGCACATCCTTCGGAAATCCCCAGGCTGCCAGTCAGTGTATAGTTCATAATAATGAGCCAGTGCTTGAAGTGCTTCTCTCAGACATTCCTTTTGCCACTCACCAAGGCCCTGATTTTTAATTTTTTTTAAACTGTTCTCAGTTAAAATTGTTGTCTGTGTTTCGGAGGGTATTGCATGGGGGGGTCTGTGTTTTTCCTCATTTTGCTGTGGTTAGAGGCATTTTGCCGGGGCAGGGTGTTGAAATATCCAGTTTTTCTTGTGTCAAATGAGTATTTTGTGGTGCCTGCAGCAACTTCCTAGATTTCCATATGTGCCCCCAGGCCCAGTACAGTTGGGGACACCTAGTTTAGGACAGTTTCCTGTATTCCAAATTTGAAGTTATTTTCCGTCAGCCAAATTCTAAAATGACCACGCTAAACCACATTGCAGAAGAATGTTGGAGGTGACATCTCTATTCTCTTGGCTGACAGTTCTGTTCCTTCCAGCCACAGTGGCCAGTCTATTGACATCTGTTCAGTCAGCTGAGTTCCAGCAAGTCAGCCGGTTCTGTGCTAGTCAGGAACAGGATAGGAATCTGCCTTATACCAAGTCAGTTGGTTGGTCCTTCCAGCTCAGTACTGTCTGCACTGACTGGCAGCAGCTTTCTAGACAGGAATCTTTTGCCAGCGCTACCTAAAAATGCCAGGGCTTGAACCTGGAACCTTCTTCAGGCAAAGCAAGTGTTCTGCAACTGGCTACAGCCCTCATCCTGCCCCATCTCCACCCAGTTCTAAACAGGTTTGCAAAATATTGCTGCCAGCTAGCACTGGTGGTTAGAATAATTGAATGGTAGAGTTGGGAGGGTTGCACCAACTGATGCTATAGCACCATTGTGGAGTTCTGGGTCAGCTTACAGGTTTGCTTCCCTAAATTGCTGTTGCTTGCATAGTGGCTCATTTGTTTGGTCCACAAGGTAGATTATATATATATATTTAAGTGATCCAGCATCTCAGCTCTTAAAAACTGCCTGGCAGTTCATCCAAATTAGTACCTCTTCTGGCCAAATTGGTAGCAATATGTGGAATGATTTCTTTTTTTTTTTCACTTCGCCTGCCACAAACGATTAGTGCAAAGGTGCAGCATAAAAAGTGGGCCCTGGTTTGCCTTCAGGAACTGGGTGGAGGAAATTAAAGGATCAACATCTTAAGAGGGGCACTGAGGATGGATTGTTCCATGTGACGGCCACAGGCCTCCAGGAAATTGACTTCATGAAAGGCTCGAGGATGCCGGGATGAGGATGAGGAAGGCAGGTGATGATCCTAAATCACAGTTCAGGCACTCTGAGGTTTGGAGCTTTCTTTGCAGTTGTTGTTGTTGTTGATCCAGGGGAGAAATAGCAGATTTACTCTAGAATGGAGTCCCCTCCTTGTGCAATTAACCATCAGTGCAGCTGCCAGCATTGACATTTTCAAATAATAAAAAGAGACTGTTTGAATTTCTATAAGGGAGGCTAGACACTTAATTTTTTAAAAAAAAAATATCAACACCCTCAATGAATTGTAAGTCCTAGAGTTTTTTTGTGGAGAAGCCATGACAGTTAAACTGTGTTGAAGGAAGGAAGGAAGGAAGGAAGGAAGGAAGGAAGGAAGGAAGGAAGGAAGGAAGGAAGGAAGGAAGGAAGAAAGAAAGAAAGAAAGAAAGAAAGAAAGAAAGAAAGAAAGAAAGAAAGAAAGAAAGAAAGAAAGTTATTTCCTACTTTCTGATGCTCTAAGGCTCTGGCCAAGGTGGGCACTGATGCCAGCAGAGAACCAGAAAACTTCATTTGTGTCTCCCATCTAGGCACTGACCAGACGCAGTCCTGCTTAGCTTGGTACAAAATGAACACAAACATGCAAGTATCAGGAACGAGTGACAAAGATGAGTCAGGTACCAAGAACCCAGGAGCTGTGCCAAGGGGTCAGAACCAAGCAACAAGGCCAGCAGTCAGTATTGCATCATCATCCATTTGCTAAATGTGTCTGTGTGTTCTTCTTCACACAGCACATAGCTAAGGTGGGAATTTGCTCCCGTAGGAGGCAGTGATGGCCATGAACTTAAATGGATTAGACAAACTGAGAAGAAGGCTATCCACAGCTACAAGCCACAATGTTCGACCTCCATTGTTGGAGGCAGTCTGCTGGGAATCACAAGTGGGGAGAGGAGCGCTGATGCACTCAGGTCTTGCTTGTGGGCTTCCCATTGGGGCATCTGGTTGGTCACTGATCCCACTGAAGGCTTCTTCCGACATTCTTAGGCTCACTCTTCCCTTTCATCTCCAGCAGCCTGCTTCCACCTTCCTAGTGATACCATAGGAATCTGGCTGCATTTGCAGCCTTTTGTTCCCATGAAGGGCCTAACAGGAGAGTCCCCAGAGTCTAAATGGACTCCATCAGAAATGATCTCTCTCGCCCCTCCTCGCAGAAGATTAAAGGTGCCTCCACTGATTCAACTGTTTATGGATTCCATTTTGCTCTGCTTATGCAGCTGATCCTTTAAGGAGCCTCAGATTACCCATAAGCGCTAAGACTTCTGGGGGGGAGCAGTTGCAGGATAACAGAACCCTTTTTATGATAATCCTAGCAAGCATCAGAGGCTAATTTATAGAGATCTGGTTGCCAATGTGGAATCCGTCTAGAATTTCATTAGCGAAACCTCAGTACGTTCGTTGAGTTCTTCCGCTGAGACAGATATCAAAAGGGCGATTGCATTTTTTTTTTCTTTATATGCAGCCACGTACTGGAATTATCTAGTTAAAAAGAGTTTAAAAGCCTAAGAAAGGGGATCTAGGAAGCATTTTAAAATGCAAGAATCTCCATACGAGGAACTGTAGAGCCATATAGTGATATTGCATAGTACTTAAAAAAAATAAATCATTGATTTTGATCGACTGATATTATGGATTCCCAATTAGAGAGCAGAGGGTGGCGTACAGTTGCACAGAGTTGCACCTCATGGGAACCCAGAGGTTTTGTTCAAAGACACCACCAATCAGTGTGCAGTAAAACAGGCAGGGACCAGCTATGTCCTCTGCGTTTGGAGGAAGTATCCGTTGATTAATCACTGGGTCCAATGATTTAATAGTAGGGGCTCAGTTAAGGGCATATTTTAAAATATAATACCAATATACAGAAAATGAGATTCCACAAGGATTCCAGAGCAATTGCCTGCAGTTTGAAACTGAGTGCCCTTTAGAACGCCGCATCATTCTTTAAAGAGCATAGTCTTTTAAAAGCTATTTTCGGTTCTAGTGTTTTTCTACAGTAGGAGGTTAGTATTATGTCAGTTTTCATTAAATGGATAAATATAAATCTGACCACATTTGCAGGAAGGAGCTTCACCACAGGAGAATGAGAGGAGAAATTCCACATGGGGGTGACCTTTATGTGCTGTAACGACTGTATGAACTTGACATTAAAATGTTTGGGAATAAACCTCTGGCCCGGATGCAGCGCTGCTTGCCCTTTCCTGCAAGTGAGTCACAGCTCAAAACGGGGCTGTTCCTCTTCACCCTGTGCATCCGTAAATTGAGCATCGGGAAGCGTGTCCAGACGAGCATTCCAACTGCACACAGTCAAGGTGGATCGGAATACTTGTGTGGAAAGTTTCCATACCCCTTCCCAACCCTGTGGAAAGGAAGGAATGTAGGGAAACAGCTGACTTCCCCTCACCCACCCACATTTTTTTCTTTGGGGAGGAGAGTAAGGTTCATGTGTGTGCAGTTGTAAAATCTTGTCTGAGTGATACTGTACAGAAATCCCCATCAAGGTTTTCTTCCAGCTTCCAAGCTGTCTTCTCTCCTTCATAATGATAAATGCCTAGGAAAGAAAGCTATCTAATCTTCAAATTGGCTGCTTTTCTTAAAAGGACAGGAAGAGAGGCTGTGCATTACATTCTGAGCTGAGATCCCTTCTAAACTTGCAGCTTCATTGACTCCTTAACTTTCTCTCTTTCTGCCTGACCTTTGATGCCTCATCTTGGAGAATGATGTTTTAATCGCCGAAGACAAGGGGCCTACGGTGCCTTCAGTCACCTGTTCAAATTGAATTGATTACCTGTCCCGTTGTCTATTTTGTCCTGCCTGCCATCTCTTGGTAACTCTCACCTTTGCTTTCTCTCTGGCTGAGCTAGCCCATTGCTGGTTCCCATTATTTCCTGATGCACACGGCGAGTTCATCACCTTCCCAAGATACCTCTTGATTGATTCCTTATGGCTTGCGGAGAACCACTTAAGTATTTCCTAGCTGAAACGAAGCAACGTTCGGGAGCTCGGTCTTTCTTTAAAAAAAAGAAAGGAAAGGAAAGCCTGAGATTTGTGGTTGTCGTTGTTTGTATCAACATTACTTGAGGCAAGTTGTTAGAGCACTGGGCTCTATGTGTTTCTTTTTATATGTGTTCAAACAATTCCTCTATAAAAGAACTTGGGGTGTTGTAAAACACTTCTGCCGTGTGTGTACAAACCCCTTTAGCAACAAGTCGGATGCAATGAAAATGAGCTAATTGGATATTAGTACAGTCCTTTGCTCTTCATCAAAGACAGTGTGACCTTCCCTTCCACACAGGTCTGAGTCCAAACCGCTGCTAACCACTTGATTTCTTAAAATAATGCTTTTTATCTGCTTTACAACTTTGGCTCCTCCCCAGTAAGTGCCAGCATGCTTCTGAGTAAAATTCAAGGCACCGATTCTGACGCCAGCATGTGGCATCCTAGGGCAGGTGCCAGGGAATCCTTTTGACCAGTGCTGGGTCTAGGAGTCACCATTTTCATTTCCCACAATGCACCCCATGTAGCATCACTCCAGTGCATTGTGGGAAACGTGAATTATGGTTCAGCTGGGGAGCTGGTACTGCTGCTATCAAATATTCCCCCGGTGCCCATTTCTGCCCCCCCCAAAAAAAAACCTACAACCTGAAGCTGGCTCTGGCCCAGCAGACCTTCTCTCAGACTTCCCCAACCTGGTACTTTCCAGATGTTATTGAACTACAACTCCCATCAGCTAGCCAATATGACCAGTGATCAGAGATGGCAGGAATTGTAGTCCAAAACATCTCAAGCGGTGCTTCTCAAACTATGGGCTGAGGACCACTATTGGGCTTCAGCACTGGTCAAGCAGTTACCCAGACACAAACAGCAGTGGCTGCAGAGTCACAATAAGTAAGAATCAAAACAAAGTGGGTAAGAGAAGGAAACTGTATAAGAGGAGAAATAATAATAATAATAATTTATTATTTATACCCCGCCCATCTGGCTGGGCCTCCCCAGCCACTCTGGGCGGCTTCCATAGAAACCAAAAAATACAGTAAAATATCACACGTTAAAAACTTCCCTGAACAGGGCTGCCTGTTAAGATGTCTTCTGAATGTCAGGTAGTTGTTTATCGCTTTGACATCTGCTGGAAGGGCGTTCCACAGGGCGGGCGCCACTACCGAGAAGGCCCTCTGCCTGGTTCCCTGTAGCTTTGCTTCTCGCAATGAGGGAACCGCCAGAAGGCCCTCGGCGCTGGACCTCAGCGTCCGAGCAGAACGATGGGGGTGGAGACGCTCCTTCAGGTATACTGGACTGAGGCCGTTTAGGGCTTTAAAGGTCAGCACCAACACTTTGAATTGTGCTCGGAAACGTACTGGGAGCCAATGTAGGTCTTTCAAGACCGGTGTTATATGGTCTCGGCGGCCGCCCCCAGTCACCAGTCTAGCTGCCGCATTCTGGATTAGTTGTAGTTTCCGAGTCACCTTCAAAGGTAGCCCCACGTAGAGTGCATTGCAGTAGTCCAAGCGGGAGATAACCAGACAGTCCGCAGGCAGATATGGTCTCAGCCTACGTATCAGATGGAGCTGGTAAACAGCTGCCCTGGACACAGATTTGACCTGTGCCTCCATGGACAGCTGTGAGTCCAAAATGACTCCCAGGCTGCGCACCTGATCCTTCAGGGGCACAGTTACCCCATTCAGGACCAGGGAATCCTCCACACCTGCCCGCCTCCTGTCCCCCAAAAACAGTACTTCTGTCTTGTCAGGATTCAACCTCAATCTGTTAGCCGCATGTAAACACTTTTAACAATGGTTTGTGCTCTTTAATCGTGGTTAGATGCTACACTCAAACCATTGTTAAGGGCTGACCACAAATGGCATAGTAAAATCAGGAGTTGAAAAAGTGGCTTTGCAAACCATGGTTTATAGGTGGTAAATCTGGTTAATGGGCAGTTTCTCCATCCCTCCTGCCTTTTTGTTTGAGAGAGAAGCAGATTTTAGGGCTTAGCTCATGTCTGAGTCAACATCCATACCAGGCCTTAATCTTGTTTAAATGTGTTTTGGCTCTTTTTAAAAAGTGTGCTCCACTGAGTGGGTTCCACCTCAGGGCTTAGACTGACGGGGGGTGTCATAAATATGACCCATCCCAACCATCTGCTGCTGCAATCCATAGAACTACTCTGAGCCCTAAAGGAGCAACCCCGGTCTCTTACCTTTGGCTTTTGCTGAACTTCATAATCAGTTCCCGAATGTGATTGTGTTTTTTTTAGACAGAACCATGTCCTTTATTGCATAGTTCCCTTCGTATTATTGTAGGGATGGCTGAATCTGTCAATTTTGGTTTGTCATTTTTTCCAATCTTAAGAACAGTTCACCCTGTTTCCACATTCATTTGTAAATATAAATTCCACATGAACGGTTACACACATTTTCACATGTGGCTCTCCTAATAAACACATATGTCTATATGTGTGTGTGTACATATGTATATGCAGCTTTGCCTAGTGCACACATTTTTGCAGGCAATTTTGCATTGTTGGGAAGTGTGAATTTGGAAGGAGAGCCGTATTTCAGCTGGCTGGTAGAAGTCGTAGTCCAAAACATCTGGAAGGCACCAGGTTGTGAAAAGGCTTTCTTCTTCTTTTCAAAGAGGGCAACGTACTTGCTTGTGTTACCATATAATGTAGCCTTTACCTTGATGGTCACCCATACTTAACATGGTGCTGGCCATAATTCAGTTTGGACATTTGGCTGTAATTGTTATTTGGCAGGAACTGGGTATTTTTCACATACAGTGGTACCTCAGGTTAAGCACTTAATTCATTCTGGAGGTCCATACTTAACCTGAAACTGTTCTTAACCTGAAGCACCACTTTAGCTAATGGGGCCTCCTGCTGCCGCCGCGCTGCCGGAGCACGATTTCTGTTCTCATCCTGAAGCAAAGTTCTTAACCTGAAGCACTATTTCTGGATTAGCGGAGTCTGTAACCTGAAGCATATGTAACCTGAGGTACCTGTAGATACATTACAGCTGTGTACAATGGTTATTCTCAGCAATCCTAGGCAATTTGCAGGTCCTTTCATAATTCGTAATAATCCTGGATGGTTGCAATTTTGTATCAAACAGTTGTTTCTCTCACTGTTGTTTCACCTTTTGTACTGTGCAAACAATTACTACAAATGCCCCCTACTAACAATTTCTGTGGCTTTGTGGCAAGGCTTAGGATTCAGCTACCTCCCAGTCTACTCATCTGGGCCAGGTAATACTGGAGAACCCTGCCTGCCCAACAGAAGTGATAGCTTCTTCTCTGCCTTACAGAGTGTTCCACCCTCCTCCTCTCCTTGGGGAGTTTCTCCTCTTCAAAGGAAACATTCTTTTTCTACAAGCTGCAATAAGAATTATTTAATGACATACTAAAAGTAATGTGGAGCAGCCCATATTTTCCAGAATGTGGAGACGACCCCCGCCTCCTTCATAAGAAAATAGCCTTGCCAAAAAGCGCCCTTTTTATTCCAGATGTTGGCTTTTCTCAAACGCATGAAATGGCCAATGCTAGCAAATTTATTTTTTAACCCATGGATTTAGTTTCTTTAATTTCTGGCATATTTGAGCATGACGTATAGGCCCTCAGCAATCTGCTATAATATTTGTTCTACGCAGAGTGAGGGCCAAATCCAATATTGGTAGAAGTGCTGTCGAGGCCAAGGGATATGGCGGAAACAGACCAATGAGGAAAAGTTCGGTGCTGGAAATATAAATCCATATAAGACCTGAAAAGAAAAAGCCTGGGGCTTTTTAAAATTAAAATTGCTTTTCCTCACTCCGAGTCTTTGAACGAAGCAAGGTTGCTGATAAATAAATGTGTATATGTATAATTAAGATATACTCAAAGGAGCCCCTTCATAATGGTGGTAGCAACTTGCAGATAGGGTGTGAGGTAAGGGACACTGAACACATAGCCTTCTGGGTTGCAAAGCTGTTCCTGCACTGTCCTATCTTATGCACAGTGGGATAAGGGGGGTTGACTGTTGCAACAAAATATCCATACCCATTTAAAAAAAAAAAATTAATGCTGTCAAGGACAAGGAGAGCATACCCTTCTCCTTTTCTATGCAAGAGAATTTTCTTCTCCATGGCAGTGTGGACCAAGAACAGTTTTATCTTATAGGCTGGGGCTGATGGCAGCTGCTATTTAAAACATCTGGAGGACAGCAGGTTGTCCAAAGGGCCGTTATAAATGATGGACAAGCAACATAACCAGGAATGCGGATGCTAGTTATTGAAAGCCACCCAGAGACAGTTTATAGTAGTAAAATGTTTTTTATGTTCTGATATGTAAAATAAAATGTCCATACTATTGTAACAAAGCTTTAAAAAAACAAACAACAATGCCACACTGCGTTTTATCTAAAGTGGATTCTAATAGAGATTTATCTGTAGCATATATGTTTCATCTAACCAAAACTTAGTTTTTACATCACAAACGGGTGTAAAAAAATTTTTTTTAACTTAAATAGCTTTCTTTCCTTAAAAAAATGTCCCTTGCAACATTCATTATTTTATTACGTATTTCGTTGTTTAAAAAAAAAAAAAAGCAAAGCTGAATGGAACATGTGGGCCTGCATTTGTGAGATATATATATTTATATTTTATATATATAGATATATATATAGATATAAATAATTATTCAGCATGCAACACTTGTAGTGATTTCCCAGTTCTGATTATAGAACCCCACACCAGCCACACACAGGCTAATTGAATCACCACACAGGATGTTCTGGGTGAAAAGTAACCTTCTCCTTAGTGGCCCTGCCATCATGAAAACCATCTCTTCCTTTTCATTATCCCAATTTGTTGGTGTAGAATCCCAGCAGACTGGAGACATCACCGTGTTGTGGAGAGAACAAATTTGGGTGACTAAGAATTGGTCAGTAATGTATGCCCCTGTTGAAGTGTGGTTTTTGCATGTGAATTCTTAAGAGGTGCAGGAATTAATTGGGTTTGGTTTTCTGGGTTTTCCTTCTGCTTGTTACTTTCCTTTTAAGGACCAGGAATAGGCTCTGCACTCGTTCCAGTAAGGAAAACCTGTCCTCTTTCGCCTGTGATATTGTTGCCACTGATGTTTTAGCAGATGTGTAGCCAACATGGGGCCTCCAACTCCCATAGACCCTAGCTAGTTTCAGATAGTACATGGGTAGATGAGATCTGGAGGCTTAGTTTGGGCCAAATTAAGTATACACTTCCAGAGTTAACACTAAATACACTACATTATAGCAAGCACCATAGCTGCTAGAGGGCCATGAAAATTTGTGTCCCGGGCTTTTTAGACTTGTCCACCCATGTACTATCTGAAACAAATGGGGTGCACTGGTTGCCTGATGTGAAATATATTGGCATTATTTTCAGCTTTCCTACCCCACTATGGGGCAAACAGGACAAGTATAAAGCACATTTTTGACTTGTAAAAGCAGGGCAAGTGGCTGAGGGCAGAACTGCACATGATCAGTTTCACAGAAAGGACAGTTCTGTGTCAAGCCTCCCTCAAGTGGTACAGTCAAGCTTGCAGGCTTCTGGTTGGCTGCTATGAGAACAGGATGAAGGATGAGTTGGACCGAGCCAGCAGGGCCCTTTTCATGTTCTTACGTTACATGTTTACTTGAACTACATATTCTGGAGGGGCAGATTCTGGTGCAAGACGGCCATTTTCAGTGAGTTTTTATGACCATCTGTCATTTTTGCACTGAAGCCAAGTGGAAATAATACTTTTTTGGTTGTGAATTACTAAATCCATTATGTTTAAATTTACCTTTGATTATTCTGTGGTGTGGTTCTCTGAGCAGGGTCAATCCAGCCAGATCCTACCCCACCCCCACCCACACCCCAAGCAGGATCTCCACTGGAATTATGGGAGTCATGTGAGAGAGCACAACTCCTGTTCATTGCAGTGGTATTCCTGCCAGAGAAACTCAGAGGGTTGCTTTCCTGGTTTGTATTCTTAACTCAGAAGTTGACTTGTCTGGGTCTTCCCTGTATCTGATTTACTAACTGCAGACTATTTGGGGTACTACCCTGACCTATTACGGAGTTGTGGTGGAGGGGCTATCATTTAATGCCTTCTTTCTTTTCCCGCAGAGTTTAAAAAGTGCTGTCTCCCCCTAACTGTACGTGGAGGGTAAGAGCAACAGTATGAATCTTGGGGTAGCCAGTGGCCACCCATCATAAATTTCCTCCCAGAAGGCACTGCTGGGACACCACTAGGTCTTAACACAGGATGTAGTGTGATACAAACCTACCTAATTCACACATTTTGAAACAAATGTGCGAACCAAAACACAGCCCATCCTTCTAAAGCTGCAGTTCTCCAAATTCTGCAATGCGGTGCTCTAGCAAAGTGCAATGTAGAATGCATATATTAATGGGAATGGCTTTGCAAATATGTGTATATGATAAAAAAAGTTGCATACAAAAAATGTGCATAAATTTTGATTAGAATGTTGATGAATTTTATAAGGTCCTTTTAAAAAAAAAAGTGAAATTGATGTGGAAATATGGAGAACTGAATTTAAGATTGGAAAACAGACAATGAAAGAAACCAAAATAAACAGATCCCCCAGTGCCTTTGGGAGGAAAATAATGTTCTTTAGAAGCACTTTCTCTATCTGCAAAAACTGGGGTGGGGGGCAACCCCCAAAAAATCTTTCCCCTGATCAGTGCCGATTTCAGCTTCCAAGACTGCACCAGCTTGGCCAAGCCCTACTGCGGTTGAAGGCAGTGGCATACACATTTAATCTGCTTAAGTGGCTTTCTGGGTCACACGCTCATTTTTGGGTGTGCTTGCTCTCTGCATTGTTTTTTGTAAAGTATCCAAAATGCATGGAAATTGAGGCGGCATTCAGTGAACAGTCTGGTGTATATTTTGTGTGCGTGCATGTGCTTGAAAAGGGAGAATAAGTGTTTCATGATTTCATGGAGGGAACCACATCTCTCTTTGAGGCAAATACTCTCACTGGGCAATACGACTGGTGGTCCAGGCCACTGAGCCGAGTGCTTTTTTTGGTATAGAACTGGGTTTTTACCCCCTCCCCCACCCCCAAGACTGAGCTGCTTTTGTGTCTAACAGAAAACAAGCTCTTCAGCTACACAAACACCGATGTTTTTGGTCACGGTGTCACGGAAGTGCAAGTTACCCACAGGTATTAACACTGAATTAACATTGTCCTGGAGCATTGACTCTTAACCGCAGTTTTTAGGTTCACTGCCCAGTTGCAGGAATCATCCATCAGGCCAGTTGTCCACAGTCCCCATTCCTGAATGATACGGTAAAGAAGATTCCCTGGACAGCGAGAAGGTCTGAGAGTAGAGGAATTCATTGGCTGCGCCTAAGTGGGGAGAGGGGGGCTTCCTCTCGCACACTGAGGGGTGCACCCGTTCTCTTGGGAAGGAGGGCGCAGGGACTCTCTCCCGGGCCTGAGACTGTGAAAGCTGATTGTAGACTGTGAAGGGGCTGTTGCCCGGCGGCTGGGAACTCTGGTTCGTGATGGTGGGTAGACGCGGCATCATGGTGGTAGCTGTGAAGTGAGCAGGGAACGGCTGGTAGGGGACAGTTTCCATTGTCTGAACACTGTAGCTGGTGTAAGGTGCAACTGAGGTCCACATATTGCAGCTCAAAGGTGGAGGAGGAGGAGGAGGAGGCAAGTCTTCTACCGATGAGACACCTGCAATTTCAGCACCGGAGCTGGAGTACATGCACGCCTCCCGCGGCGTCACGTCGCTGCAGTAGGAGGGGCTCAGCATTTGCTGGTCATAAGGAGGTGGTGACCGAAAATAGTGCTCTTCCCCGACAGAAGAGGAGGCGTCCAGATAAGAGCGTTTGCAGGGTAAATCCAAATGCCGGGCACCCTCTGCATGCATACCAAGGAACAAGCAAAGCGAGAAATGCTTAGATAGTTAAAAGGTTCTGGGCACAGACCACTGCATTGCTAGTTTCCTCTACATGCAGTTCTTATAATCACTTCCAGCCCAGGTACAGAAAGTGCCTTATTGCTGACCATCCCTCTGGATTGTTGGATATATTGGTCACTCTCTGTGTTTGCATAGGGCGATAGGAATGCCCCCCAAGTTTTGGCAACTGGGTGCGTTCACTTTCTGCAATATGCAGTAAAAAATCAATTAGGAAAAGGGCACGTTAAAGGTAGAAAGTTTGAAAGACAAAGCAGCAGTTGAAACTCGCCGCTTTGCCTTTTCTCCACAGCAGGTGTGGCAGGTGCCCCCTGTCATCTTCCTTGTGATCATTTGAACTATTCTAAATACTGTAGGAATAGCCCCTTCCTCCTCTGCCTGCCGTTAACCCTATCCTGGTTCTTCAATCTGCCTTCATACAACTTGCTTTTTAATCCCTCGCATTATGCACCTTACAGCCTGATCCTATGCAGCAGTAGGCATGCCTAAGGTGAACCTATCTCTGAGCAGAATCAGGCTGTCTGTTGATCTGGGAAGCTACAGCATTGCCTTCGTAATAATCAAATAGCCCTGTTTATTCTTCGAAAGACATTCCTCATTCTCAAAAAGGCAGGGCATTGCCAATGTCGATCTATTCCAATCAATCTTAATTTAAGGGGCTTTCTCTATCAGTTGAAAGTTTAAATGACTTTGGCTACTGCTTTCTTACACCCAGCAATTACTTTTCATTCATCTCGATAACAGGCTGGCCACAATGCTTTTGTAGTGTTGCTTTTGACAAGTTCAAGGAGCCCTCAAATGCCTTATCAAGAGCGCTGTCCAGAAAAAGAGAAGTGGTCTACATTTGCCAGGACTTCACGTCAAAATGCTGCAGAAAACTTGCCAGATAAATGCTAAGGGCTGGTAAATGTTTTTGCTATGTGCTCGGGGGCGGGGGATCTCTCTTAATGTTTGTTTGCTGTAGAACAGCATTCTGAGGTCGGGAAGCCCCAATTATTGTTGCAAGGAACCCCGAATTTTTTTACAATGAATAAGCTAGTTAATAAATGAATTTTTCTGAAAGAACCAATTTTCAGAGTGGTGTGATTAACAACTTTCTTGCTCTTCTGCTTGTTGGCTACACTGCTTATGGCTTTGTTTAACTTTTAGGTCAAGTGTTTCAAAGTCACATGTAGCTGAGCTCTGAACACATTTACTCAGAATTAAATCTCAGGGAGTTCAATAGCACCTACTCCCTCATCAGTGTGCTTAAGATTGCAGTGTGTTACACCAAATAAGACACATACACACAAAGAGAGATGAAATTCCATGTGTGTGCACATTTGAATTCATTGAACTAGTGTTACAAGAAATGCAACCATATAGGATTCAGAATAACTAAGATTGCTATTAATCAGAATTGCATTGTATGAGACATTTTTTCCCTTAGAGAATCCGCTGGAAATCCCCCACTACTCTGTTAGGTAAGGTCTCCTAGCCTAACATTTTTTTGCCTACAGATCTCAGTTACCTCGCCGCTTCAGGCAGTGATAGAAGAGCCCCGATTCTCTTTGTGCCGTGAAGGTGTTGAGGGGCAGGTCTGGGGCATCTGATGCTGCAAACTGCATGTGAGCACCATTCTCATACTGGTAATGCTGGAGACCCTGGTGGCTCCCGTGGAGCGAGCTGACGTCAGATTTAGTGGAAAGCTGACCGTGAGTTGACACCAGCCTCTGCCTCATTATGCTTTTGGAGATCACTGGATACTCTTTGCTGCAAAATGCAATAGGAAAAGAACCAGTTTTACACACATTTAGACAGAACAAAACCATCAGGAATGTTATCTCACTATTATTGTGTGGCCCTAGAAAGATGGTTTCCAAACTGTGTTCCTTGGAAGCTTCCTTCAGGAACACTGGACTAGTTTCCCTAAAAGAAGCTTGACCAAAGACCATCTCTGCTCTTATTCTTCTGCAGTGGGCCTGTTGCAGGAGAGTGATGGGTGTAATTTAGGAGGGCATGATTTAGAAAAGCACTCTCCTTCCATGTGGGGTTACAATGAACCCAACAGGCTTTCAGACTAGAACTATGCATGACCTGGACTGTGCCCCCTAGGATATGTCCCCAGAATCTCCTGCAACACACACAACTTCTTTGGATCGTGGGATGCGGAAGGAGTTCCTCAGAAGAACTGCCCTGGAGTGCTGGGCATAAGAAAGTCACCTTAAGACTGTATGGGTACTGTAGCAGCTCCTTGGGAACTCAGACCAGTTCTCCTCACCTGCTACCTGATGGCCTTTTAGCTGAAGATGCTGGGAATTTGACCTCACACCTTCTGCATGCAAAGCGTATGCTCTTTTCCCCAGCCGACAAGATCTGTATTTAAGATCACAGTTCAGCCACAGAGCTGAGTGGGTGGCCTTGGGCAAAGCACCCTTGCTCCATGTCTGTTTCCCATCTGTAATGCACATTTAATTTATTTATAGCCCACTTCTGCCAAGCACACATGGGCTCCTGCCAAAGCAGCAAAATGTGCAAGTCAAAGCATCTGATAGCTGTGAAGATCAAGATCTGCTGCTGCTTGCACAGAACCCCAAGGGGACACGATCCAGCAAAAGCAAGAGCCAAAACAGACAAGCAGAAGCCCTGTGTGTTGTGTCTGTTGCTGGGCTATAGTAGGCCTCCAGTCTGAAAGAACTCTCCTCTGAGGTTATTGCTGAGAAGCACTCTTAACAATTTTTAAAATTAATAACTTAGTTATGCAGCACACTACAGGGATGACAATATATACAGTTTTCCCCACCTACAGAGAAAACACTGCCCATGAACTCGCTGTATTAGACAGAGAGACACCTGCGCTTATTCTGGGCCCTTCCTAATTTTATCTGTCTCTGTTTAGTTGTCCCACCTCTGTAATCTTGCCACGCGTAGGTCGCTGTCATCGCTGCCTCTAAAGCCCTTGGCAAACGGGTTGTTTTCTATCTTCAGTTGAGTTATCTATTAAGGAAATAAATGCGGCGAGTTATTAATTTGAAAGGAGACTACAGAGTTTGTGCTTCTCCAGAAGACCTATTTATTGAGCATTTAGCATTCATCCTGAATTGCTTGAACAAAGTTATGTACTAGTTAGATTATATCCAGTCTTTATTAGTATTCATTCTGATTTGTTTGCAGGGTTAGATGAAAATGAGCATTTCTCCTGATTGGCTTGTAGGGGTGTTTATATCTCCTCCCAGTAGCTAGTCATTCATCTCACACATCTCCCCGTCACTTTTCAAGCTGCTATGGCAACAGAGTGCTTTATTTTATTTATCTATTGCATTCATATCCCACCTTTTCATCCAAGAAGCTCAAATTAAAAATTTGTCATAAAAGGAGTGTGAAAAAATGATGGCATACAGCAGCACAAGCAGTGAAATTAGTACAGGCTGGGAAATGCCTTGTCTACCTCACAAGCCAGTCCAAAAGAATATTACTGGGGAGAGGGGGAGAGAACAGAAACAAGTGTGGATTGGACCCCAGTAGAAAACTGCTAAAACACGACCTAGCAGCCAAGCAATGCTTATCGGGAAAGTGGGTGAGCAAGGCAAGTCCCTCTTCCTGCACCCCACACCCTGGAAGGCACTGACATTTCAAAAGGAGGCCACTTTACCTTCTGCTGGCTGGCTGGCTGCAGCTTTCCTGGCACACTCATCTTGGCCAATTCTGCTCTCTTTCTTTTTTTAAAAGGGATTTTCAAAAATGTGGCTTTTTATTATATTTTTAGCCTCTCTTTACAACGCTGCCTTCCACGCCCTGTGTCCCCGTGCGCTGCATCATTGAACAGCACTCACAAGGCTGATGGCAGGCACAGCTCCAGGCAAGTGACTAAATGATACCTGGAAAGTGATGCTACTGGCTCTGTAATTGAGGGAGTCAGGCTGCCCCCTACCCACCCACATACTTAGCCTTTCCCTAGAGGTTCCTTAAGCTGTGGTAGAGCCTGTGGCAGCTTAACAATCTTCCAAAGACCGCAGGATGCTGCAACGCTTTGCCTAAACACTCCACCCACAAACCAAGGTGCAATTGAACACTTCTTCATTCAGCTCCTTTCTGTACTCTGTGTCACCAAAGGACACCTCAGCAACTGGCATTATAATAAGTTCTTTACTGCCTGCAAACAGGATGCAGAATGTTCTGTTTACAGTGTTTCTCTCTTCTCGCTCTAACTCCCATCTCCTTGCTAAACAAAAATACATTTGCAGCTATCCTCCATTCCATACTTTTTGTTTTAGGGCGGGTGGGAAGACAGTCAGGGAAAGAGCTAGGGCACCCACAGCCCTGACCTTCAGTGGGTACGTTCCAGATTTCAAGCCTAATGGGCTCTTGCATCAGGAAAACCTGCCTCTTAATTTTAGATCGGGATTTCTACATATCTCCACCGGCACTGCCTCAGTCATTAACTTCCCTGAAGGGGAAGCCATCCTTTAAATTTAGCCCTGCAGATCCTATAGGACAGGTGGCCACAATGTTTGTGCAAGTCCATAGCTCAGGGACAGAACATCTTTGCATGCAGATGGGCCCACATTCAATTTTCAGGTAGGGCTGGGAGACAACCCTGAGTGGAATCCTGGAGAGCTGCTGCCAGCCAGTGTGGACAATTCTGCACTAGATGAACTATGGGCCTGACCTGACATGCCTAGACTATTCACTCTTGTTGCCTCAAAGTCTTCTCTGCTATCCCTTTCCAGGTAATCCCTAACTCTTCTTATTTCCCCTTTATCAGATTCCATATTCTTCCTGCCTTCTCTGTCTTCAAGTTATAGTATCACACTAAATGATACAATCCTGCTGGTCCCAAGATATTAAGATGCTGTTGCTAGATGCTACATCACCGCCCCAAATGGACGTTTTGAAATAAGTGTTTTTACAGATCTCACACCAGAGTCCTTTCAGCTGATTAGCATAATTGACATGATTAAAAGATGCCAAAGAGTTACTAAGAATGTTCTCAGTGGATTCTTTGGTTAACCATATTGGGGCTATGCAGCTGCACTTACAACTGTAACTTTGCAACCAAGATTCACACTGAGGGTTCCTGCCTCGGCTCTGCCAAGTCTGTTTTTATTTGAATAGACAACCTGGGAATGAGCTACTTGTTTGTGGCTCCATAATGGCAGGATTTTGGATTTTGAAATAATATAGTCTCTCAGTTGGCAGGTCCTTTTTAGAGTGGGTGCATAAATAGCCACAGCCTAAATGGGGCACAGGTCAACTCAACACATGGATTCATCTTGTGGATTGGAGATATATCTTGCTATAGGTTACAATAAATCCTGTGTCCTCTGGGCTGCCATGCATCTTGGAGTGAAAGGGGCTGGTGTTTAATTGGTAAAGGCAAAACAACCTGGTGGCTTCCAGATGTTGCTGAAATCCAACTCCCATCAGTCCCAGCCAGCATGGCCAATGGTCAGGGATGGTGCGAGCTGGAGTCCAGAAACATCTTGGCATTCTGGATCCCGACTACGATGTGCCTCTGAACAAGAGGACAGAAGTGGGAAGAAAGCAAGGTGAGAGCACTCAGTACATGCTCAGAGACACCATTTGCAGCCAACTTGAACATGGGGAAAGTTAATGAGGTTAGGAGATGTCCACAAGATGGTGGGAATTGGGCTTATGTTTCTAACATTAGCAGACAGTGTGTTTACCACGTTACTGAAGCTGTGAAGTAAGCTAGATTTGGTAGCACCAAGCAAGTGATGATTCTTCAAAATATGTGAAGAGTGTCTGATATTTTACAGGCTAAACAGAACCAAAAAAAGCATGCTTTTGACATTCTGTATAGATTTTTTATCCCCCACCCAGCTTAGTCGAAGCAGAATGTTTTAGGGATTAGCTTGATACTGAAAACAATTTATGGGGCTTCATCACTGGCCTAAATAATGCTTTGAGAATTCTGAGTTTGTGCTCTGGGCCATTCTGCATTTCCTCTAAAGCAGGTGTGAGCAAACCTGAAGCCTATGGGATCTACTTTGCTTTTTACTAGAACCCCAAGGTCCATTAATCAGAGCCAGGTGTTAAATAGTGGCTGGGGGGAGGGAGAGTCAATTACTTATTACGCCACATGACCCCTAATCTGCATACACAGAACAGAGACACGAGCAGCTTAATTTAAGAGGGAGGGTTTTGTTGTTAAATAATACAGAAACAAAAAATCTGACGAGTCTACTGCTACATCCGAATCAGTGCTGCCATCAGAGTAGGACTTTGGGGCAAAGGTCCAGAGCCTGGTCAACAGAAGGAGCAGGAGGGCACCCAAATGCTCCAGGGCTGGCTAATTAGGGACAGGGGGATCTGTCAATTTCAGTGTCTCATTTGATCAACATAAAGTTCAGTTATCCACATTTCCAAATCAATTTGCCATTTTTGTAAGTACTCGTAAAAATTCAGCAGTATTTTAGTATGACTTTCTATTATGATGCACATTTTCCCCCAAAGCAATTTCCCCTAATAGAATGCATTTTGTATGTTATTTTCACCAATGTATTAATTTTATGCACACTTTATCCTAGTATATCCATTTTTGTACCCTTTACTTAGCTAAGAGAATTGCATTGCAAAATTCAGAGAAGTGCAAACTTTGAAATATGGCTGTGTTTTGGTTCACATATAGTTCCGGAAAGTGCTGCTAATTAGCTGGGGTCACATTTAAATGGATCAAATTTCATTCCCATCCCTTGCTGGCTTACCACATTTTGAAGTTAGTGAAGTAAGATACATTGCCAGTCGCCGCCACACCGCCAAAAAAACATTAAATCCAGAGTCTAAATTTAGTTAACTGCACCAACTCTAGTCTAATTTCTGCCTATTCTTGTATTGATGCATCTGAGTGGTATTGTTGAAGATAGAACTAGATGTGGGGCAACTAAGGGGGGGGTTCAATAATGTTGAAGATAAATACTGGTATATCACTTTTACCCCACTTTTCAGCCATTACAAGAGTTCCTAAGCTGGCTTGCTTTCGTATCGCAATAAAAAACAGCATTTTTTATAAAGACTACCAGCACATTGCATAGAATGATGCCATTCTTCCCTATAAAGTACCTCACCACCATTGTCTCCAGAGTTAAACCATTCTTGCAGTTTTTAATCTCATGTCTTTCTTATTTTTAACCATTGTCAGCTGTCTTGAACATTTTAATGGCACATCAGTGTTTGAAATAAATAGGAAAGCATGAGGCAGAGTTCAAAGTGGCTACCAAGCAGCCTCAGATTTGAACTAAATAGCTGGTAGTGTCAGCCCTATGATGCATTTGGTGCCTTATTCTGAATCAGTTTCAGCAATCTGCTGCAGTTTCTGTATTCTCCATCTCCCGCCTCACAGAGTCCACTGTTTAGTTTGGGAAATGGAATAAACTCCTGAAGTTACAAAGCCAGAGTGCTGTAAAACTGCTCTCCCTGATTCGTTTGGTTAGCTCATGAGGCTCACAGTACCCAAACAGTATACAGTTCATTGTGAGTTGGAATAAGGTATGCCTCAGCTGCTTGAAGTTACCAAAGCCAGCAACTGTTCCTGTTTGTGAATGGAGTTGTGAGGAAAAGAGCTTTTAAGCTGGGTGTCAAGAAACCCGTACATCTCTCTGGGTCATTTGTGTAGAAATACGACCCTCTCCCTAATACTGACATTTTAAGTGAGACCTTAAGGTGATCTCTCTCCATAAAGCCTCTCCAGACAAAACTGTTTCTGGAGAGCTTCACTTTACAACTGACAACTTTGCTATGGGTTAAGCGAGTCAAAGACGGTGTCAGGAGGACGAGTGCTCTTGAATGCCTTCCTTGACCAGGGATTTCTCCCCCTGCCCAACAATCTGGCACAGATTTCATGAAATTCATACTGTGCTGTAAAGTTTGTGATTGTCAACATTTTTGGTTGAATCCTATGACAAGCAGTTTGGGAGAAATTGCTTTGGATTACATCCAAAGTTAGTCCTACTCAGAATAAGGACGCAAGAAGGCACTGATTTATGTTCCAATACATGTTTGTTACATGCATTACTGTTTCCATTCGACTGCAGTTCAGCTTCTAACAAAAACTATGTTACTGATCTCGCTGTCTGCTGTGGCAGAATTTTATGTAACTCGTTACCTTATCGTTGTGTTATTCCACACTACAGTGGTACCTCAGGTTAAGAACTTAATTTGTTCTGGAGGTCTGTTCTTAACCTGAAACTGTTCTTAACCTGAGGTACCACTTTAGCTAATGGGGCCTCCCGCCGCCGCACGATTTCTGTTCTCATCCTGAAGCAAAGTTCTTAACCCAAGGTACTATTTCTGGGTTAGCAGAGTCTGTAACCTGAAGCGTCTGTAACCCGAGGTACCACTGTATTCATTTCAATGCAAAGGAAATGCCAGTCAGTTTCAGGGGAGTGTGACCAGTGTGGTTGCACTGGGCGCCACATCTATACTGCAGAACAGAGTGTGAGAACCAGGGGTCCCTGAATTTTCACATCGCACAGGGTGCCGCTGAAATCTGAGAGCCCAAAGTCTGACACTGGAAATGCAATACAAATGGGGGTGGGAAACATCAATTATGCATCATTAGCAGACTGAAAACAGCAGTAGTAGCAAATACCAATTTTCTTTGCTGGATGGATTTCTGTTCCTGAAGAATAAGCAAACTCCATCAATTTCCGCTCCCATTTCAGTCAAAATTCTCCAACATCCCTAACTCAGAGAAGAGGCATTGAAATCAATGGACACATCTAACTTTATGCCCATTAATTTAAGTGGGTCTGGTCTGAACAGAACTTAGTTTGTTACAATCCCATGCCTTTCTATGTTTTCCGCCCATAATTAAACAGCTACTCAAACCTGTGGCTTTGTTGGGCACCTTCTCCCAAGATACAAGCTGGGAACCCTTCATTCATTTTGCAGCTGTAAGCAGACAGAATATAGACTGGGAATCTACTGGTAAATGCCTGGGTGATTTCCAATAGAAACGTTTCTGCCCCCCAAGTGTTTAACAGTAGCAACTAAAAGGTTCCCCTCTAAAAGGCAAACTAAGGCCTGGGGGGCCAGATCCGGCCCAATTGCCTTCTAAATCTGGCCCGCGGACGGTCTGGGAATCAGCGTGTTTTTATATGAGTGAGTAGAATGTGTCCTTTTATTTAAAATGCATCTCTGGGTTATTTGTGGGGCATAGGAATTCATTCATATATTTTTTCAAAATCTAGTCTGGCCCCCCACAAGGTCTGAGGGACAGTGGACCAGCCCCCTGCTGAAAAGGTTTGCTGACTCCTGAATTAGACTGTTGAAACCAAGAATACTTGGAGGAAAACCAGAGTTGGGGGTAGGAGGTGGGGGATGGCGCCAAGCTCAGTTTTGGTATCAAAAGCTAAACATGTGCTCGAACACCTCTTTCTTAATTTTAGGTCTATGTTCAGTCACACACCCCATGCCATTTTTTTCCTCACTTGGCTCCAATTGGTGGATCTTGATGTTAACACACACCCCTCCCCCCCTAAAAAAGACATCGATCCCACAAGTCTGAAGTTTGTTCTCCTTCTTGCTCTACAGGTTGTGGAGCAATAGATAGTGCACGCACACTCCACACATACACAGATAGTGTGTGGTTTGGAGTGCCAATTCTCAGTCAGTACAGATCTTGACTCAGACTCCAGTTGTATCACATGCATCCAATCAGACCAAACCTTCACAAAATGCATGTAAATCTACCACAAGAACAAGAGCTGAAATCCATTTTGTGTTTTCCCCCCTCCAGTTCTCTCAATCTCACGCCCACTCAAAAAAAGAAAAAAATCCTTCTTTTCCTTCATGTTCTGACCGCAAGGCAGGCTCTTAACTGCTTTTATAGTAACATTCCTTGTATGTCTCCCTAAATACATATACCGTAATTACTTTTCACTGTAGATTTATGGCTGGGCTTTACCAGTCATTATTAGGTTTGCTTGCTGTTTTGAATGACATCCGAGAGTTTATGGCCTCTGATTCATTAGTTACTGGGCTCACTGTGACTGCCAAGATACCTGTTTTAAACACACATACACACACTCAGTACACTTTCCTTCCTTTCCTGAATGGCATCCTCTGGGTTTTGGTAAAACCAAGCATAGGGCAAGTGGGTGGGTGCTTTCTATTCAGAGCCTGTCTTCCGACACAGCCTTTAAGAACCAAAAAGACTGTCTTCCTGGATGGAGGCCCACCTTGGCCTGGCATAATGCCAACAACCTTCCCGTGTGATGTGCCCTGCCCAGCCTCTATCCCCCATAGGCACAGTTCCTGTGAACACAGATGTTCTATTTAGCAAATCGTGGCATCTGCTCTGTATGTTTCACCGCCTCTCTTCATTTGTCTAATCTTTTTTTTTTTAAGCCATATAACTTCATAGCCAATTACTCCGTAAGTTAATTACTCTTTGTGGGAAGTAGTCCTTACTTTTGTCTGCCCTTGGGCTCACTGCCAGCTGGCCCAACATTCTTGGATTACAGTTTGGCCATGCAATTTTTTCCAAAGGCAATAGCTTGATTTCTGAGCACGGGCCCCAGGGGTTGGGAACATGCCACACTCCAGAAGTTATTGGCCTCTCAACTCCTAGCATGGCCAAAGTCTGGAGATGGTGTCTACCACCATCTGGAAGGCCACAAAATGCCCATCCCTGACCTACACACTCTTACAGGAAATCAGCCTTTAATGAGAACCTGCCTGCAAGGCGGAGTCTCATCCGTAATGACTACAATGGTGCACATATTCCATTTAGCGCAGAGGTTTGGAGCTGCCCCAATGCACCACAATCCCACGAACCCAAGACCTTAGCAATGCTGTTCCTTTTTTTACAATAGAAATAAAGAACTTAACAAAGCTCTCTTCATTTCAAATCTGGGGGGGGGGGACCTGTGTGACCCAAATGAAACATTGAGTCATATTCAACTAAGTTTTATTCAAAGTAGACCCACTGAAATTAATGAATGTGACCAAATTAGGTTCCGTCATTTCAGTAGGTCTACACTGAGTAAAACTGAGTTTGACATTAACCACCTAATAATGTCCCAAAGCTTTCTTGAACCTACAAAACTTGAAGACAAACAATATGAGGAGAAGACTGGAACCCTTGAGCAATTAGGTTATTACAGACACACCGGAAGAATAGAAAGAAGGAATCGATATGATTAAAGTTTAAATGTGAACTACCAACCATTAGGTAGGAATAATCCAGTCACAGTGTGAAGAAAGTGACGAGAGAAGGTTACTTGTCTCATAGTACTAAAACTTCTCTGTCTGAGCAGTAAAGTTCTCATCAGGACAAGCAAAGGAAAAATGCTACTTTGGTGGAGTTTCATTTACAAAGGTTTAAGTTGCACCTGCTGCTGCCACCACCCCAAACATATCACCAAATTCACAAAACAAAATGTTATTTTGGGCCACGGTGGCACAAACCTTGTGGTTCTGATAGGATGTCACGGATATAAAGGATGTTTCTGGAAACACGTGAGTACAGAAAGCTGTGTTCTTGGAGCCAAATGCGTTGTTCTCATCTGCTTTCACAATGTGCAGCCTTGGCTGGTATTTGTGCATAGAATTAAGAATGATCTGAGGAAAGGAAAACAAGAAGGGAACTCATTAGGAATACTGTACAACAAAGTGTATTCAACTGGAGTGCATTATAGGAGCAGGGAAAGGCATTTAAAACATTATGGTGAATTTTGGCTTTGATTTCAAGTAGGAAGGATTTTGCATTCCCATGTGTGAGTAAAAAAAAATGATGTAACTCTTGAGACCTGAAGCCAAACAAACGTATCTGATTGCTTCCAATTTATTTATTTCATCAATAGCATATTTTTAAACCATGCCTTTCAAACAAATTCTGATTGATAAAACCCAATAAACCAATTTAGACAAACATAAAAATAAGAGGAACAAACTCTAAAAGCAGCATAAACCCCTTCAGACTACAGAACCCAGGGAAGAGCACCAGCTGAAAGTCTTTGCGTATGGACATGTGGAGATAGGTCATTTCTTAAAGCACTGAGCTCCCAAGTCATTAAGAGTTTTTTCAAAAATCAAAACTAACACTTTGAATTAGGCCCAGGAATGGACCAAGGAATTATGGCAATTGATGAAGCAGTCAAGCAATGCAAACAGTTCCAATCACAAATCAGTGTATTCATTTTACCTTTGCCACTCCTCATCCCAGTGGTTTTTTTCTGGGGGTACGCAGGGGTACGCATACCCCTAAACATTTTGTGAAACTTTGTGCTTTTGTACTTATTTCCCTCAATTTGAACTATAAAATGGTGATTTTCTTAAGTCAAAATGAGAGTACCCCTAAACATTTTTTAAGAAAAAAAGCACTGCCTCATCCTATGCCTGTTCATTCTCTTGCTCATTTTTCTTTCCCTTCACAGAAACATTCCTCACCTTTTCCCCTAATTTCTTAGCCAACAGCAAGCAGAGAGGCTGGGGGGCGTCCCACCCTTTTGCAGTATTAAGGCAGTTCATCCACTCATTGCAAGAAGTTCCCCCATCACTTGACGGTACAGCAATACCAGCTGCTCTATTCCCACTTTCACTGAATGATGGAAGGCCAAAGGCATCCTCTGCATGGGTCTGTTTTCATTAGAGGAGAGAGTTAGTATTGCCCAGTGTAGCTTTTTACTCATGTTAGATGGGAAAGAGTTGGATGGAAAAGGGTCGCTGAGTCTCCTACTTAGGTCCTGAGACACAGGGTGGTAAGTTAAGCTTGCAGGGCTGCCAAGTTGCCTCAAACTGCATATAAATATTGTAAGAAATAAATAAAAAAGTGAAGTAGACAAGAAATAGACTCATTTGGCCATCACCATATAGTATATTTAAAGATAGACAGGCAGATATATTTACACACATGCATATGTACGTACAAGGTACAGTTGTATATATTCATAAGGACCCCATAGCCATGGACATCCACGGGAATTTCTGCCTGGGGGGAGGACAAAGTAAAATAGGGCAGTTTCTCACCCCCAAAATTGAAAATAATAGTGCCTGTAAATTATGCCTCATATCTCAGGTTCTGCAAATGCTAGAAGTTTACTCTCTTTTTTTAAGGAAAGCTGGGGATCTGGAGATTATGGTTCATATGGGAAGAGGGGGACTGCCCCCTTCTCTCCCTGCCTCCCACTTGCAGAGGCCCACACCCCCCACAGTGTTCTGGGGAGAGGAAATGGGGAGAATCATTGCACATTAATGGTATCTAGGCAGAAAGAGCATCCAGCAACCTGACTGAGGCCCCTCCACTTCCGTTTAGCCATGTTCACAATCTTGATGCTGATGGAAAGTGGGGCTGGAAAACAGAAGCCTATTCTTTTCTAGATGGGTCAAGCTACACCATTATGGCAGGATCAGTTCTTTTAAGGCCCTTTTGGTCTGACGGCATATAATTCTGCCCACAGTAGCCAGCTGCATGATATACCATTTAAATGTAGTTTTTATTGATGACATTTTCCAGATCAGCCTTCCCCTCTTCTCCCTGAGGAGGAATGAGAAAGCAGCGTGGCATTTTATCAGCTTTGTATGGGGTTCTCTTTTAACTATTTGGCTGCTGTCTGGCTATAGAGCTTTGACCAAGGAAGAGGGGAGGCTGCTTTATTAAGGCTGTTATTAAAATATATTTCACTTGGCTTGCCCTGTGATATCAAACCACTGGAGGACAGCTCCAGAAGTTACACTGAGGAGATTTTTAAATCAATTCCAAAAACAGTAATCACTGTAGTTAATTTGGGAAGTTAGTTAATTATACTTCTATTGTTCATGAGAATTTAAAATATATTTAATGAGATTTTCAAGTTGTAATGGCGTTATTTACTAACAGCAAATAGTGGGACCTGCTGCAGCAAAATGTTGCAGTTTATTCTTATCTCCTAACTCCAAAGTTAGGGATAGCCAAACTTATGTCATCCATGGTCTGGTAACCTCTAGGATATGGAGATTCCATCAATCTCTTGTCGCTTAAAAAGAAAGACGAAAAACAGAGATCAAAGTAAAGCACTTTCCCTTCACCAAACGCTCTGTTAAAACAGGCCATAATTTTGCACCCCTCCTCACTTGCTCCACTGTTATTCGTAACATGTAGATGTTCCAGGAGCAGAAGTAGTTCCAGGAGCTCCAAAGCATACCAAGAGAGTTGAGGCGCCCAGCTCCCATTTGGGTCTAATGCTTTAATCCACTTTCAAGATCTCCTATTGAATCTCATCAGCTGGACTGCACTACTTTCTTAAACACAAAGAAAGTGTTTTTTAGAAGCAAACAGGGAGGGGGGGCATATGAAACAGCAGCCCAGGCTGCCTGCCTAGAATCAGCATTGCTGAGATGGTGTTCCAGCTCAAAGGGATATTTTACAGAGACTCCAAAAGGTACAACTGTGACCCGTAAAACCTACCTAAAGTTTTGGGTTGGAGCCAGTTGGTGGGAGCTTTGCAAAGGGCGCACACTCCATTAGTCGTTAAGCTGCCCCAGCATGCCTCTGGAGTCCTGCATCTCTGCCCTGCCTGCAGCACTTGGAGGAATTTCATGGCTGACGAGGGATGTAGTGTCTGGTGCACCAGGGGAGTTGACTGCACAGAATGACGCGAATAAAAGGCAGAGGCTTCGCATGCAGCCTGCCGACCATGAAAACTTATACATTTAATAAATAAAGTGGATCAAACTTGGGGAAGAGCTGTGGCTCAGTGGTAGAGCACATGCTTTTCATTCAGAAGGCCGCAGGTTCAATCCCTGGCCTCTCCAGGTGGGGCCAGAATCTACCTATCTGGAATCCTGGAGAACCACTGCCAGTCAGAGCGGACAGTACTGAGCTAGAAGGACAAATGGTCTGACTCAGTATAAGGAGCTTCCTATGTAGCCTCTTAAAACTAAATGTGGTAGGATATGCCACAGAAAAAGAACATGAACGGAGAAACAAATAAACATGGCATTGAAATTAACTTTGTTTTGAATAGTTCTGCACAGGCCACTTTTCACATTCATTCTAATAAATACTGTTTGCTACAAGCACCTCTCCTAATACTGCCCCCTGCCCATCAGGATATAGGGCATAAGCCTGCCAAAGATACACTGATTAGATTTCAGTCCAAGTATTGTGAGCACACCTGGAGTCAAGCAGCCTCCCTTCCCACTGATCATTAGTCACCTGCAGCATTTTCATACTCAGGTGGGGAATGCATTTAGTTGTGAGTTTGAATTTTGAACTGCAGTTAAAACAGCAACCACAAAGTTGCTTCGGCAGTGGGGGACCAGCCAATATAGTAACAATGATGTCACTGGAGGACATCTGAAAATCTACCTCCAAACGGTGACTTTAATACCACAACATACGTCCTGGTGTTGAGCACACAAAACATCTCCTATTTAGCTCAGGTGTAATGCAGCCAAGATTTCTGCAGGCACTTAGTGGTAGTGATAGGTAGATGCAATATGAGCCTGCAAATATGCAAATACTCGCATTTAGGGATGAGAGAGAAATCTAGTTCTGTTCACATTTAAAAGACAAACCAGCTAAACCCAGACTTTCTAAAGCAAAAAACTGAAACATAGACTTCTTTCAAAAATCACAGTACAGTACAGTTCTCCAGCCAAGTAACGTTTACAAAAATGCGCATGCTGTGGCAAAGTGTGCATAAACATTGGTGAAAATATCAAACAAAAATGTGTTTACTAGGAAAATTACACACCAAAATTTTGATGAGTTTTCATTAGGACTTTTTAGAAAAATGCAAACTGATCCGGCCATCTAGGAAACTGAAGTTACTGGAAAAATTAGAAACAGGAACCAAAACTGACAGATTTGCCCATCCCTACCCCCATGACCGTTTTCCTGGCCTGGTTGTACAATTTTGCATTACCTTCCCCTTTAAGCTGGTGGGGTCCTCTGGCCAGAGAGTTCCAGCCTTGCATTTAGGATTCAAACCCCCAATTAGCTATGCTCCGATTAGAAAATTAAAGGTTTGGCTCTGAAAAAGGGAATACTTCCACACGTTGTGAGAGGAGCTCGTTGTTTGGTGTAAATAATACCCATATGAACAGAAGCTTTGTTTCAGCAAGTGAAGTGCACACCTTTTGGTTATTAGAAACTGTCAGGTTGGGTATAAGTTTGCGTCATGACAGGCACTCAGAAGCCTGCGCAGAATGAATGTTCAGATTTTTCGTACAGATTACACAGTGATTCTGGGCTCATCCATATTTCCATTTTCCCGTGATTTCTAGTCCAATAAGATTTTCCTTTGTCTTGCCACTTTCTCTGGGGAAACCTGCTGTTTACTACTGAATTGGAACGAACGTCAATTGGGTTTTCTGTGGGTTGATGTTTGTTGTGATTCAGCAGTGAACTGTGAGTGTTCCCAGGGGAAGTGACAGTACGAAAGAAAAACCTCTATACTCATGCCTAGAAATCATGGGGCAAATGGAAATGTGGATGAGCTTTATTTAAGGATTTATAAGCTACTTCCCAAAAAATGCTTCTGAAATATGCTGTAAGCTGCCCAGAGTGGCTGGGGAAATCCAGCCAGGTGGGCTACCTATAAATAATAAAATTAGTAGTAGTCATAGTAGTACTGTAGTAGTAAGAATATCAACAACACAACGTATTTCGAGCACATTTGCAAACTGGAAAAGCAACTGTGGGTGTTGCTACACACAAACCACAACCAAGCACACTCCCGCCCTACAGAGGTGGTGGGGTTGTGGCTTCACGGCCCCACCCCGCACAATTGGGGGGATTCCCGGCCATGTCATCGGCTGGCTATGGGGGCATGGCCTGCCCTATTTAAGGCAGGAGGCGGCCGGGGATCTCCCTCTTTGCCGCCTGCCAGCTGTTCCAGTTTCCCCCCCCCCCCCGCCCTATAAGGTTTTCGTTCCTTGACCCTGCTATAGACCTTGGTTGGTTGCTGTTGAGGGGCCTGGTAGGAATTTTTCCACTAGGCAAATTGGTACCAGCCACTTGGTTTTCGCCTACCTCGTAGCAAATCGTCACAACTTTCTTGGTATTGGCAGTTAGGCAATAGTATTGTTCTGTAGATGGAAGAGGGGAGGTAGTGCCATCACCTGCCCCACATATTGAAGGGTAGTCCGATAAAGGATTCTGGGAGGCGTGGCCCTGTCCGAAGCCTGGGGAGGTGAGGTCCTAAGGCACACCCCCAATCGGTGACCCCGGGGGAGTTCCTAGTTGATGTGCATCAGCAGGACTCCCCCTACTGATGGTTAACCCTTCCCGGAATTCAAGCAGACGGGCTGAAGTCGGATATAGTTGGTTAGGACCAATGCCTAAGCCAATACCTGTAACCAATAAAGTTGTGGCCTTATTTAGCCCATTAACCTTAATAATTGTGTCATGTGTCATTATTTCTGCTGGGGGAACGGGAACTCGCCACGCAATAAGGCCCTTAGTGGACAAAAGTGACTCTTGGAACTCTTCTTTTGTAAGAAAACAAAGCTTGAATCATATGTACTATCAATGAAATGAACTCAATTCAAATTCCACTGGTGATGCTAGTGCTAAGTAAAGCCCATCAAAGGGCCTTGCATTACTTGGGATGTAGCGCCAAATAGCATTTTTATTCTTTCTTTCTTTCCCACCCATCACCCTATGGTCCCAGTGCAGTCCTTCACAGACTGTAGTATTTTAGAGAGCAAATTGTTCCAGCGTTCCCCCAGATTAACATTTGCACCTGGAAAGTTAGCATGTCATGAAAGTTTGGTTAAAACCCTGATATACAGCTTTCCATCTGCAGGGAGGTAGAGATTTGTTTTTGTTAAGCACCTGAACCCTAAAATGGGCATTCCCTCAATAGCAGTTTTACATGATCAGAAAACATTGAATTAGGAGTTATTCCACTTGGCTCTTTCACTCCCTAAACATTGTCCATTTTCTCTTTTTTAAGGCACATGTTTTGTTACTTGAGTTCCTTCTACAAACTAAGGCAGTTTAAAGTTAACTGTTAACTTCAAAATGGACTGCCACTTTTAAAACACCTTCACTCCCTCCCTCCCCACAACATATCCCCTCTCCAAACATATAGTTAGCCAATATCGATCTATATATATATATATATATTTCAGAGTTCAGCTAGTTCAGCTCCCTAGCACTAGTTCAGCTCCCTAGCACTAGATATGTACCTTTGGAAACACGAGAGTCTTGCTTACATTTATAGCGCCGTACAGACTACTAACTTGATAAGGCATTGGAAAGGCAGGATAGAAGCCCATATAGTAATTGTTTTCTTGTTTTTTAAAAGCATTGCTTTGGATTTCTTAAGGATGATAAACGTTTTTGAATTTGAAAGAGATGTGGCTTCTTAAGTTAACGTTAAGTATTCATAACGTTTGATCAGGCCACTTTGCTCTGCATAATGCGAACTTTCCCTGAAATCAATGCATAATATGTTGACCCGTGAGCAAATAAATAAATAAATTGGGAGCTGTTTTAAGAGAGTTTCTTGGTTCTCCAAAGGAGATCAGGTATCACACACTGCAAAAGTTGCCATGACAATCACCCATTTAATATAAAACAACAGACAGTGGTGTGCCAGCCCCACAATTTTAATAGCTTCTCCCAAGGAATCATATAACTGAAGTATAATCCCTCTTGAACATGCTGTCTGTCTTTTACTTTCTTTTCAAACATTTGGTCTATAATGAGTCAGCTGAATTACTCCATTTCCTCATTTTGGGCAGTGGAAGGAAATACGAGCTGTACATTTTGTTTTATATTTATCAAGTACATCAACTGGGAGAAGAACTGCCTCTTTGTAGACAGATAAATATGGGCCCCAGAAGCCAACTGTTCCAATTTTGATCAAATGCCCAAGGGACGGGGAGAAGCACCATCATACCTTGGATCAAGAATCTTCCTTTCCAGAGAGCAAAATGTTCTTGCTGACTTGTTAATCAGTCACTGTAACTATTTTGCTTTAAAGGAATTGTCACTGTGATGAAGGGTCTGGTCCACAAAAGTTTATGCCATAATAAATCTGAGTTGCCACAAAGTTCTTTGTCATTTTCCTGAAAACAGTGTATTTCCCAGTAGCTAGCTGTGGGACGTAACTAAAGAAAAGAATAATCTGGCATACATCACCAGCCTCCTGCATGCTTTCCTCTACCCAGGATCAGTTCCTTCCCTTGCATGCTGCTTTTAAAGATTTCCTCTTCCTGTGGATAGATTTGACCATGCAGTGACACACTTTCTGTGTGACACGACTCCAAGCCCACTCTTCTTCTTGCCTTGCTTCCTGGCTCTGCCACATTTTGGTAAGAGCTGTAGCTCAAGGATAGCATGCATACTGTAATTTGCATGCTGAAGGTCTTTGATTCAATCCCTGGTATCTTCAGATAAGCCTGGGAATGCCCCCATCTGAAACCCTGGAGAACTGATTACCAATCAATGTAGAGAATACTGAACTAGATGAACAAATTGGTTGGACTAAGGCAGCTTTCTATGTTCCTTCAGCTCCACTATTGCTGCTGCTGCCTCCTCCTTTTTGCCTAAACTGCTCCAATTTCATTCCTGGAATTGACATTGGCTTGGTTTCTCCACTAGGGATACTTTGCATTCCCTCTAATTAAGCACCTTGGCTTGGACTCTAGCATTGCCTCATTCCCCAGAGATCTTGATTCTGCAAGGAGGCAATGAGTCACTCCAAAGCATGACAGCAGTTGATATTGGGGGTTCCTCCTTTCTGTGGAATGGACACAACCAGAGACAGCGCATTAGATGTCCTGCAGTTGGACACAGGGGGAAGGAGTTCCTAAATTGTGGTCTGCAAACCAACAGCAGTCCACGAGCTACATTCACATGATCTGCAGTGTGTGTGTGAATTTGTAGCTGAAGACAGGAAATGGCACACCCACCATACTAAACATTCAGATTGGAACCTTTTTGTATTTTTGTTGCTTCTTTTGTTTCTTGTGTTTTATTGCAATGGAATTTGAATTTTATGGAAATCAGATTGTAATAGAATATATAACAACTATTTTTATATATAGTGTTTTATTGTGTGACAATTTGAATTTCATTGATCTCAAATTGTAACACAGTAAAATAAAATATAACATAAAAAATAAAAGCAGCAATAAAGATACAAGTAAAATCATAAAGCATCTGCCGAGACCTGCAATTTCCAAGTCATCAATGGATTGGGGGGGGGGGTCAGAACTGCTAACAGGGCATTGGGCAGGTGTTGGGGTCTACTGTACTTCAGATTTTTACTAGAACTCCAAAGTCCACCATCTAGAAACCCTTGCCAATCTACTGCAAATGATGCGGCAATTTACCAGCTGATGGGAATTTACCTTCTGCCAACCCTCAACAACTTTGTGCCCATTCCCCTGTAGGTTATTATCTGGCCCACTTGCTTGAGTGATCTAGAAATTCATTGCTCCAGAAGTGCTTTACGAACTGCAGCTGGTCTCTCCAGGACTGTGCTGGTTGGCAAGTCCTGTCTTTTGATTGGCCAAGGCATCTCCCAACCTCTCTGTTCTAACCATATCCTATACATCTACAGCTTCCTGACACTGGAATTCCTTTCATGAATGAGTACCCCTATGAAAACATATCACAGTTCTGATAGATTACATCATTAATGCCCTCCCCTGCCTACTGCATGTACAAACTTATTTTGCACGTTTTGAAGACATTATATTCATAGATGAATCTTTCTTGACGGGCAATGTATGTGGAATAGTATTAATTGAATTTCCCTTCCAATGGCATTGTGAAGGATGGAGTATCATTTTCCAGCAGTAGTTGGATCCACAGCAGCTTAAATAAATCTGGCATTATTAATGAATACATTTTGGTTGTGTCAGCATTTTTGACTTGTGTATGTTTCAAAAAGGCTTCCCCTTTTTCCCCTTCCAAAGAAAGAAAAGAAGGGAATCATCCAAAGCCCAAATATCTGTCAAAATAGTTAAGCTTGTTATATCCCTAGCCACCCTCAGGACACACACATAAATCAGGTTTTTTTGTCAGGCTGATTATCTCCGCACATGTAAAGATTTTGAAATACATAAATTAATGTCTTACCCCAAGAGGAGGGATTTTGCTTTTAAGTAGATGTGGCTTAAGAGGATGTCTAACATTTAGAGGCTGATAAATGCCTCTTCAACTATCTGCCACTGAAGAGTGTTGGCTTCTCCTACTGTAGTGCTTTTTCTTTTCCTTTTTTAAGGCACACGCAAAAATTGTTTTAGCTTCTTAAGAATCTCGGTTATTCCAAGAAAAAGACCCAGGTCAGGATGAATGAAGCCTACGAGGTTCACATCAGATGGAAAAGACTACACTCTTCTCAGCAAGGGGAGGCATAATGAAGTCATCCACAGATTATTCATTAACGGAGCATTCCAAACTCCCAATCTGCCCTGCTGGGGCAGATGGAGGGAGGGGACAGACGTGTCCCTCCACCCAGCAACAGAGAGAAGCTCCACCATCAGAAAAGAAGCACCTCGGTCTGCCCAAATGGCAAATGAATGGAATATTGCCAGTGGTAATAATTGATTTTTTTATTTATTTCGACTGCAGCAGAACACTTTGTCCAGTAGCATCTTAGAGACCAACTAAGTTTGTACTGGGTATAAGCTTTCATGTGCATGCACACTTCTTCAGATACCTGCTGCAGTTTTCTGCCAAAAACTACTTCATTCGTTTCAGTTTTGAAATTACGTAACTTTCATCATTTATGTGATTAATGACGTAAGTTATGTTGTTATTATATTATTCCAGCCCATTAATTTCAGTGAAAAAGGAACACAATGTAAACGGGGCTGGGCAGGTGTAATCATGTATCATTTGCAGGCTGAAAGCAACAGAAGCAATGAATACCAATCATATTTGCTGAATTGATTTCTGTTCTAGGCATGGGACAAATTAAGCAAGCATCACCATGGAGAGTGTCTCACCCAAGAATCTTCCAAAACCTGTCCCTGGCTATAGTGCATTTTAACAAAGGTTTGCCAGACCAGTATAATATGGCTTATTCATGTATGTATTGTGTACAGAGCACAGCTTTAAACACAGTTACATCTAATGTTGGAAGCTGTTCAAGCATGCAAATTTGGTTTTATTATTTATTACACTTATGAATTGCCCTTCCTCCAGAAGGTGCTCAGGGTGATGCACAGCAAAGATAAAACAATAAAATACAGTGGTACCTCGGGTTAAGAACTTAATTCGTTCTGGAGGTCTGTTCTTAACCTGAAACTGTTCTTAACCTGAAGCACCACTTTAGCTAATGAGGCCTCCTGCTGCTGCTGCGCCGCCCGAGCATGATTTCTGTTCTCATCCTGAAGCAAAGTTATTAACCTGAAGCACTATTTCTGGGTTAGCGGAGTCTGCAACCTGAAGCGTATGTAAGCTGAAGCGTATGTAACCCGAGGTACCACTGTATATCCATAAAGACACATAATTGCTCACTGCTATTAGGTATTAGACAACACAGTATCAAACCATATAGAGTTGGATAGACAGAAACAAACAAGGAGGACAGACATCACTCCAGGGGGACGGTCTTCCATAGCCAGTTTGTCTACTAGCATTGGAGGAGGCAGCTCTGCAGCAACTTGGACTCTGAGCCACTCAGAGCTTTAAAAACCATGTTCGACTCGTGAATTTTGAAGGGGAAAGCTACAGGCAAGATCACTCCATCACATACCTTTTTGTCAATAAGGCAAGAGTCAGAGCAGTTTGCAAAATGCAACTCTGAATCAGTTGTCCTTGAATGCAGAAAGTGGAAAATGGGAATGCCTATGTCGAAAACTTTATATCCCACGCAACAACAAAATACCAGGAAGCTCGAGCCATCCAGGTTCCAATGCCAACAAAAAACGTCCTGTTTGGTTGTGGCCAAAATGAACATTCACATTGAACCAACATAAATAGTGGTATATTAGCAGCCCAGGTAATGGTAGGTAAAGAGGAAGGAAGAAAATAACTCTTAAAAATGTAAATATAGGGAAAGTAGTTGAGTTAATATCCTGCTGCTAAGAATTGCATAGACCCCTTTATACTCATATGCTCCCATATGCACTTTAACACTAGTTAGATGTACCCTTTGCAATGATATACCAATATGTAAGCAATGTATTGGCCGACTACTGTGCCTTGGAGAAGGTTCTGCACTTATAAAAACCACCGGTCACATCCTTTTCCAGTCTCTGCACATGAAGATTTTCCAAATATAAAATACCCTGTACATTGTGTATAAATCTTCTGAACACCCGGGGGGGGGGGGGTGATTGACTTACACCATCAGTTCTGAGCACACTACAAAGTGTTATACATCAAAGGTTTCAGTTGGCTGAAAACAGGAAACTGCAGAATGAGTCAAAGCCCAAGAGAAATATGCAAATATGAATGGATAGAGAGACAACACAGTGTCAGCAACCAATGAAAAATGTTGAGATACTTAGGAAAGAGTATCTGATGCTCACATGTGGCCACGCTTGAATCCTCTGCTGCCGGAAATCAAAGACAACACTCACAAAAAGATGTCTGGCACAAATATCAAAACTATAAGGCTACGCAGCTTCTGGGTGCCAGTGACAAGAGTGTGTAGAGTTATGCTGGAAGCTCAACCTGGAGTTAGAGATTCTGCACAGGAACCATTGGCATGAGTGGGACCTGCAGCTGGCTGGGGTTGATAGGACTTGTAGCCCTAAAATATCAAAGGCTCTTGAGGGACCTTGAAAACTAACCAGTTTATTATGGCATAAGAACTGGACTCCATACAAAATTTATGCAAAAATGAATTTGTTAATCTTCAAGGTTCCAAAACCCCCTTTGCTGTTTTTGCTGCAACAAGTTTTACACAACTTCCCAGATGGAATCTTTTGACAGCCTAAACATCATCGGTAATAATATATAGTCATTTCTCTTACATGTCCAAAGGGATCCAGGTGGTTGTTGGTGAGCTTTAGCTTCTGAAATGACACCAGCTGGCGCATCCAGTGGGCTCCTGTGGCAGGTGAATCTGGGTGGACATACAATCGCCCAGGCATCGCAGGCTCAGCCTTACCTGCCACCATCCTGCGAGGGGAGCAAACACAGAAAGGTAAGTTTTATGGTGTTCATTTGTATATTTAATTCAGTACGATATGTTTTGCCCAACGTCTCCAGCCATTCAAGGACAGCTACAAAATCATAACCATAAAAGGTTTCTAAATGAGTGAAGAAGGACAGAGCAGAAATCTGATGGATTGTGAAGTAAATACAGCAGATAAAAGACAAAAAAAACCACTTTGTTTTTCAACTACCAAACACCAGCCATGAAATGCGAGCCTTGTATTTTTATTGTGTGCTGTATTTTTAGAGAGAGCAACATCAACAAATTTAACCTAAAGATTTTTAAACAGCCTTGCGGGTAGTATGAAAAGGTCTCTGCTCTTTGCTTCCATAGTTCACCCAACTGATATTCTGAACTGGATTTCTTTACTTTAAATTTACCATCCTTCAGATAAGTCCAAGGACGGTTTGCAGACACACACACATTCACAGTGGTATTCAACAAAGTTTTTCTCAGACATATTGAAATTAATGGACCCAATTTAGATATGTTCATTAATTTAAATGAATCTACCCTGAGTGAAACTTTGTTGAATACCCCCCAGTGCTTTTTGAAAGCTTGACAAGCTTTGTTATAAAAGGTGGGAGGTGGAATTGTGAGATTTGATGGAGACCATCACTGTGTTTTTCCATTTTTACTTCACGACTTCCGGAGCTCTGCTTTGGCACTGGAAATTATATTCCAGAGCTGGACCTCAGATGAAGCCCTGAGCACGTTCGCCTTTCCATCTGCCATCTCTTAGGCTTCCTCAGTACTGTTGATCTGGTCCAGTGAAATAGACAGTACTCCCACAATTCATTTGGGGAGCAAGAGTTCCAGCTTAGTTGAAAACCCAGGTTGCTACAAAAGACTTTCCCTCCCTTTCACTGCCCTAGTTTTCTCACTAACCCAACAAGATGAGCATTCACTGTCTGCCACCAGCTGTAGCTTAGTGGTAGAGCACATCCCTGGCATTTTGAGGTACGGTTGAGGAAGTACCGCCTACCCAAAATGCCTGGAGAGCTACTGCCAGCCAGTGTAGGCAATAATGAGGTAGATTGACCAATGGTCTAATGCAGTATAAGAGTTTCCTATTTTGCTATTTAAATCAGCCCTTAATTCAGAACCTTGACAAATGAAATCTTTATTTTTAGAGGAAGCACCTACTTTGCATACAGAAGGGCCTGGGTTCAATCCACGGTGTCTCTAGGTAGAATTGGGAAAGACTATTCACTGTCCTAGCAGCTGCAACCCACAGTTCACAGTAAGAAGCAATAGCTACACACACACACACACACACACACACACACACACACACACCCTTGGGTCATAAGAAGTGTTCATTGAGCACCTTCCCAATACCAAGGAGACTGTGGAAGGAGAATGCGGGTTAAGAATTAAACACTCAAAGCTCCCACAATTAAGGGATGTAGCCTGGAGATATACATCTCATGCACACACCCCTCACCTTCCTTCATATCCTCTCTCAAAACTTTATGGTGACGTCCTTGACTTAACTCCGTAATCCTTATCCCAAATTGTAACCCCAGCTGAAACAAAAACTGTCACGCCCACTTTCTCCCATTTGTCATTTAGCTCTTCCATCTGTTGTTTTTCCTCACTGTCAACACTGAGATTGTAAGGACGGGGAGCTTGGGTCACATCCACACCAATACATTTAAAGCACAGGGCTTTCCTCCAAAGAATCCCCACAGAGCTGCAATTCCCAGCACCCTTAGCAAACCTACAGTTCCCAGGATTCATTTGGAGAAAGAAATGTGCTTTAAATTGTATGTTGTAGACGTAACTTTTTTTAACCTTTGAAAGTGCAAAATCCTAAGTACACCGATGAATAATCGGTGAATAGCATCTACTGGATGATTATAAACATTTTTGCACAAGGCCACTTTGCAGCGACCAAGTCTGCAAGCCTCAGGAATAAGCAGCTACCATTGTTTACGAGTTGCTCACAGTATCTGGGATATCTGAAGCAGCTTCCCAATCAGTGTTATTGAACCGAAAGCAGTCCTTGTTTACACAGGCAGGGCATCCCTGAGCATTTAAACCAACACACTTTTGCTTGCTCCACTTAAAAACCACTTATTTAGAAATATATATAAATACAGCTGTTTCATTTTTAAAAAATCAAAACAGTTTACAGCAAACATTTATAAAAACATACAATAAAAACCATATAAAAAGTTAAAATCAGACATCTATTAGCAATTGTGGGAAGAGATAGTCTTAATTCCTTGCATAGAAAATTTTCAGTGGGTGTGTCAAGTTTAGCACAGAGCAACACATAATGCATTAATGGTGTCCAGAATACAGCCACAGTGCTCTAATTCAAAGTATAAGGAGCAGTGTTTTGATGTTTCCAATACTTGCTCCATATATAGGGGAAGTCTGCCTCAAACCTGCCCCCATCTGCAAAGCCAAGTAGAGGCTGTGCAGGTTACAAGTTCCTAAAAATGAGAGTGTCGAGGTGCTTAGGGATGAAAAGGTAAGTAAACATTGCTTTGCCAAAGACATTTCCTGCTCTTCCTGTTGCAAGCTACACCACCAAAACTGAACTACCATCCGGATGAGGCCGCAACTCTAGATCTGCTGGGGTGATTTTAATTGTGTCAGTTCAAGACATACCATTTGTTGTCGCAGAATTTGTACCGGTGATCGTCTGCAGGAACAATATCAATCAACAAGATGTACTTGGTCTTGGGGTTCATCCCAGTGACTTTCACTTTGTAACTTGGAAACATCCTCCTTACAGAAAGGACACAAAGCAAACAAACAAAAATTGACATTAGGTCAGAAGGCAGGGGCCAAATTGAGAAGCAAACAAGAATACCCTATAAGCCTACTCCAGGTAGTACTGAGGAATGCATACATATTTTCACTGTGTGTGTGTTTGATTGTGTGTGTGTGTGTGTGTGTGTGTGTGTGTGGATGAATCATAATCCCTAGATTCCCAATTTTAACACCCCCCCCAAAAAAAGTTTCTAGTATTTGTAGAACCTGAGATACAAGGCAGTATTCTTTTCATTTTGCCTATGTGAGAAACTAGCCTGCTCCCTGCACCCCTTCAGTGTTTTATTTTGCACCCAACAAGAAATTTTCCTGCAACCAGTCCAAGAAAATTTATTCACAATCAACTGACTGGTTTATGTTGCTGTTTGGTACAGGACAGCAAGATGACACCTGGTTAATGTGCCTACAGCCAGCCAAGCTATTTTGGCACCTGAGACAGAGAATTTTCTCTGGGAGTAAAAATACAATAATAAAATGAGCAACCAACAATTTGCTGCCATCTTATGAAACCCCCGAATCATTAGCCTGAGGCAGCTGTTCCACTCTGCCTAGTGGCAGAACCAGCCCTGGTTATATAAAAGCTGAGTACTGTTATTACATAGTAATTTGCAGTCATATATTTCTCTTCAATAATTTCCCATGAAGCACTCTAGGAGCATTTTGAAAACATTTCTATGCAAGATTCAGAGACTTGGGGAAATGTGGTGTTATCAAATACACCTTTCTCCCCCCCTCCCCCGCCAAGTGCTCCCTAAACCAGAAACTGGTTGACAGAAACAGTGTAAAATTCTCCCTCAACATATCCCTATTCCCTCAGTTCTCCACCTAAGAAAAATAAAACATTTCCCTCAGGTTCTTCTCAAATTCCTCCTCAAAAAAGATGGCAGTGGGGTACCTGTCACAACTCCATTGGGCTTGATAGTATTATCCTCCTCATAAATAAGAGATTTGTATTAGTAAATGAACAAGGAAGAAAGACAAGTCCTGGTGACAGAAGAACAGTCTCTGTCTGTGGGGTGAACGATCCTTGTCGTCAGAGCAGCCATTTTGTAACCGCTTGGGCAAAAATCCACAAAATGGGTTCCTTTTAGAAGACCTTTGAATCAGCTCTTTCTAACACCCTTGCATAAATTCCAGGTGTTTACCATGTAATTAGTTTGAGCTCAAAAGGGGGCGGTTTACCAAAAAAAACCCCAAAAACCAGCCATCTTTGATTTCTGTTCATAAGCTGTGCCCTTCTCTTAACCTTGGGACACAGATAAGCACCTGTATAAATACAGTAGCATATTTCAGTTTGCAAATATACAGACTAATTCACACTTTTTAGAGGGAGATGAGAGAAATGCTACAGAAAGAATCTAATTTTAAAGCCAAGGTTTATTTTATTTTTGTTTTGTTTTAAATTAGGCCTTAAAAAAAGCTTATACCCAAAAATGAACAGAGGTTAAAAAGGAAAAAAAGTTCGGTATTTAGAAGTTTGTTCAGTATAATTTTAAACACAGCACTGGAAGATTCTACTAGGATATTTATGAGCCTGACTTCTAAAGGGCTCTTTTTTGTCTTTTGCCTACCGAACATTTTCCAAACTGTAGCACATCCAAGCTGCTAAAGGAGCAGAGATCTGATATACTGTAAATGTTAAGTGCTTTTTAATGGCATTTAAAATTAAGCTTTAGCATATGGAATTCATATAGAGTAGACAAGTCAGAGTTTATAATGTTCTTTAGAATAGCCCTCTAAAATAAATAGAGTACAGTGAAGCCTCTACCATAATATATACAGCCGAAATTCTTTGAAAGGATAACAAATTAGGACTCACATCTGATCTTAGGTGTTGCTTAAGTTGCAACCTACTCTGTAACTGCCTTTGGTAGCATTTGGCTTCACAAATCAAGCTGGGTCAACGAGCCACTGGATCTTGCCAATTTTCTGCACCCTTTTCCAGGAAAAAGCCCTGGGTATGAAGTTTTTTTTTAAAAAAGGAAAAATTCTGGCCGTGCATTGACATTTCATCATGATTATTAGCTGTTGCATTTTTGGTGTCTGCAAGCACCATGCCAGCGACTTGTCAGTTAAATTTTCTTAATGAAAATATATTTCTCAACCTCTTGGCAACTGCTGGGGCTTTCAATCAAAAGCTTGGGCAATACAGTATGTGTGTGTATTTTATGTATTTGTGTGGGAAGAGACACTATGGATCAAAAGCCCGGCCTATCCCACCTCTCCAGTAGGTTGTAGCAATGTAGTCATCAAAACTGGATAGAAACTGAATTTGTGAGATGTTTCTCTTTTTCAATTGAAACATACAAAGGAAAGCACAGGTGGAATGAGATAACTGGGCAACTATCCGACCCAATTGTGGTTGGCAGCATCCAAAACTTGCACACCCAGGCCAAACGGGTCGGTCTGTCCTTTGAAACAGCGGACTATAATAATAGAAGTCATTCTCCAGTTTTCTCAGCTAGCAAGTCATGTGGTTATCTGGCTTCTTGAATGGCACAGAGACAGTGAATAGAAAAGGCAGGGGCAGCTCTACATACCCTCCAACGTTTCCCCAATGAAAATAGGGACGTCCCATTCCATAATTTTACTATTTACACCCCACACATCTTACTGGGTTGCCCCAATCACTCTGGGCAACTTCCAATATATATAAAAACATATAAAACATTTTTAAAAACCACTTCCCTATACAGGATTGCTTTCAGATGGCTCAGAGGTTGGATAACTCCATACCCTCCAACATTTATCCAACGAAAATAGGGACATCCTAAGGAAAAGTGGGACATTCCAGGATCAAATCAGAAACTGGGACAGCTTCTCTAAATCAGGGATGTCCCTGGGAAATAGGGACACTTGGAGGGTCTGGCTCTACCTTTAGGCAAATTATGATGGAGGGAAGGCTAGCAAGCCCCCAGCCCCATTCCCATATTTCCTGAACAGGGATGAAAAGGCTTGGTGGCTGCTGGGCTGGCTGGGCCTGCCTTGTTTTGGCCTGGCTGCTTTCTCCCAATGTGCCACAGAGACTGGGATATTGAGAAAGGCCCTGGAGACAGAGTGGCAGCCAGCTCAGGATCCCACAGCCCAACAGACGTCACCTGTGCATGTCCACCCATTGCTACACTGACACAGCGCATGCTGGGACTGCTGATGCCCCATGGCAGCATTTGTTTGAGAGTGAAGGCAGCAGGTGTCAGACAAAGTAGTGAGCGGATAGCAGCAAGGAATTAAAAGGAATTATACCAGCTGGATGTACCACAGGGCCTGCTCAGCACCTCCTAACTCAGTCTGCTGAGGAAAATCAGTGAAGGGCCATAGCTCTGTGATAGAGCACCAGCCTTGCATGCAGACTCAATTCCATGGCATCTCCAGGTAGGGCTGGGAGAAAGACTCCCTTCCTGAAATCCTGGAGAGCTTCTGCCAGTCAGTGGTAGACAAGACTGACCTAAATGGACCAATTTTCTGACTTGCTATATAGCAGCATCCTGGGTCATTATGATAGTTTTATGTTCTAGTACTACTTCTATCAGGTAACTGGGGGGATTCTGGCCTGTTATCAGCATTTGTTTTGGTTCAGGAAGTGTGGATATGGTAAAGGGACCCCTGACAGTTAAGTCCAGTCGCGGACGACTCTGGGGTTGCGGCGCTCATCTTGCTTTTCTGGCCAAGGGAGCCAGCATTTGTCCACAGACAGCTTCCGGGTCATGTGGCCGGCATGACTAAGCCGCAGTTTCACATTAAAAGAAGGATCAAACGACTTTCTCCCCCATTCCGTACAAACCACACTTTGGCCAAAGGAAGGGAAAAGCAGACTGAGTTCACTCAGCAATAATTGGGAAGTTTTGTGGTAGGTGCCCCCTCCCACGTTGACACCACAACTTAAATCTTTCACCCTAGCTTATGAGCAGGGGAGGAACAGAACACCTCCAAAAGTTTGCAAGTGAGTTTTTAGTCAGACTATAGCATTGGCAGCCCCCCCAAAAAAATAAATAAATAGATATCTCTATATCAGAAACTACACACCTGGGCTTCATGGAGCTAGACTATGTTGAGATGCACATCTTCCTTTATTAGTTGGGGAAGACGACAGCTGTTACACACCAACCCCATGAAATGTCAGCATGGAGAGGAACTGTCGCATCCAAAGTTCTCCAGCTGGCCTTGACATTCTAAAGAAGGGAGACAGAAAAACCCACCACCCCACTAACTATGTTCTCTTCCATCTGTATACTGTACAGAGAAATGGGAGTTTTGTAAGCAGAGGAAACAAATAGATTACCAAGTCAAATTATTGACTTACTTTCTATGTTGATTTGCTCAGTGGGGAACCCCTGTGAGCTGCAAAGTATTCTGGATAAATTCTAGGGCAGGAGAAGGGCTGACTGGTCTTACATGGCCTTTGTTTGGAGGGGGGGTGTTTTTGCACATGAAAACATTATACTAGAAATGGGTAATAAGGGCAATGTTCCTCAGAAAATATGGTGGCCACCTTTCAATATCTGAAGGGCTGTCTGATAGCCACCAACATAGATGGCTTTAAAAGAGGATTTGACAAAATTAATGGAGGAGAGGGCCATTGGTGTCTACTAGCCATGAAGACTATGTTCTGCCTCCATTGTTGATCCAGCAGTCTTTTCTTATTTTCTTAAGACTGTGACTGGGGTTCATGGGAGATGGCATCTAGCAACATCTGGAGAGCTGCAGATTCCCCACCCCGAGACATCAAATGGAGGACTATCTATTCTACTTTGGAGGAAAGGGCTGCATCCATGCCACACAACCACTGCTCTTCAAATAGCTCCCAATGAGCCTATTGCATGTAGATCAACCGTCCCCAACTTGGCACCTCATAGATGTTCTTGGACTACAGCTCCCATCATCCCTGACTGTTGGCCATGCTGGCTGCCGGGAGTTGTAGTCTAACAGCATCTGGAGGACACTGGGTTGGAGAAGGTTGCTGTAGACGTTTCTGGACTGTCTTTCTATGCAATCAGATCACTTTGGCAGCCCTGCGTAGAACACGGCACTGCTGGTGGCCAAGTACAAAGAAAATTAAGAAAAAGGCCAGGGCTAAAATAGCTAAGCGATGAAGTGAGAGTGACTTATTAGGTCTGATAATGAAGTGATCCCTCCTCAGTTCAGTTTGTCCTGGGCACATTTGGATAGTCACAAATGGCTTTTAAATTAACTGTTAGAGGAAAAACCACTTAGGGGATTTGTATTTATTTAAAAATCAACCTCTTTTTTTTTAATTCCTTCTAGCAGTCCCACAGTTCTTGGCTGTGTTTGGCGGTTATTGACATAAAGCCAAAAAGTCCATCCAGAGATTGATCAGCCTTTGAATCACAGAGTTTATCTGGTAGGGGAGGTAGGAATGTGTGTTAGACTTTTTGGCTAGGGATTTCTGGCTTGTTTTGGACAACATCCCCAACCAGTGAGTCAGCAGCAGTGCCAATGACGGAAGTGGCAGAATCCCTCATCCCAACCAACAGAGACATATACTTGTATTGGCAGAAAGAGCATCAGGTGTGCTTGTATGTGGGAACTGGGCAACAGCCTCTCAGGAAAATAGCAAGCTGGCTTATACCTAGTCAGACCATTGGTCCATCTAGCTCAGTATTGTCTACACTGACTGGTAGCATCTCTCCAGGGTTCCAGGCAGGAAGTCACTCCCAGTGCTGCCTAGAGATACCATGGATTGAATTTGGAAACTTTTGCATGTATAGCAGATGCTCTACCACCAAGTTACCACTTGTCTCCTGAAAATAAAACAAGATTCCTGACCCTGGAGTTTTGCACTAAGGGTTGCTTTAATACAGGAAGCTGTGATATAGAGAGTCGGTCCCAATAGCCCATTTAGCTCAGTGTTGTCTACAATGAGTAGCATCAGCTCTTGAGGGTTCCAGATGGGGCCTGGAGATGCCAGGGACTGAACCTGGGACTTTCCACATACAAAGCATGTACTCTCCCACTGATCTATGGTTCTTCATAGAGAATCCTGAGATCCCTTCAGAGTCACTTCTTCCAGTGATACCACCATAGGAGGTGCAGGCGTTGGAGAATTCCAATGGAAAGGGAAGTAGAATTTGGTGCAGGTAAGGAAATTAGTCAAGCAAATGTGATCAGTATTTGTTCACATCATTGTTGAGGGTGGGGGGTTAGGTGCACAAACAATACCTGATTGGTGATTTTTTTAAACATTGTTTTGACATTTCCTTTACATTGAAGTGGTTGTAAGCTACATAAATAGTTATGTATGTTCTTTTTCATACAGCAGACAGCGAAAAGAATAACATAATATTAGGCAGAAAGCAAACTGCAGTAGAATGGAAACAGTGCTTGTTGTGACAAACACATGTTGGAACAGAAACCACTGCCTAATTCTATGTTCACCCCTCTGTTTAAAGCCACTTTTTTGCACTTTGTTACAGCTGATGGACCTTCAGATTCTAAGAATAAGCAAAGACTAAAGTCCAACCGCTTATGATCTAGAAAACACTTCTTAACTCAAAAGAGTCAAATAAAGCCCATTATGCTTCACTTCATTTCAGAGTGCCATTTAATATGACCCAAAAGAAACCCAGAATGTTGAAATATTGTTTAGCTAGAGCCGTAGCTACAGGGGGGCTAGCCAGGTTTTTTGCCCTGGGTGAAGCCTCCAGAAGCGTGTCATTGAGGCTCCCGGCCTGTGTGTGTGTGTGTGTGTGTGTGTGTGTGTGTGTACACATAAATGCACAGGGTGGGTGGCAAACTAGGTCTTTGACCAGGGTGAAATAAAGCCTAGTTTTGCCCATGGTTTAGCAGTAGCACTCAGCAGGGCAGAACTGGATGGAGGGGGGGCATTGTTTACCTGGCTTCTCAGGTGGCTGGGGAAACCCAGCCAGATGGGTGGGGTATAAATTTATTATGATTATGATTCCCAATGCACAGAGGTCACTGCTGGTAACCCAGGGAAGGAAGGAGAGGGAGGCATAGTTCAGGTGTAGTAGACGCAATCTGACGCTCAACGGTGCACCTGAAATGAGCCGACTCCCCTTCTGCCTTTCCCCTCCTCGGTTACCAGCAGCGACATCCATGTTGGAAAACCAAGTGTAACACTGGCCCAATTCACTCCGCCACTTACTACTGTTCTTTAGATCTAGCACCAATGGTGGAATCGTAGAATTGGAAGAGACCCTAATGGTCACCAAACCAACCCCCTGCAAAACAGGAATCGTAGCTAAAGAATTCTCATTGTAACATGTTTTTTTGGAGGGGGAACGTGGCTGAACGAAGAACTTTCCCAATGCTTTAAAAACAAAGAAATGCAAGGAGCATGCACACTCCCATGTTGTAGGAGGGAGCCTACAAGCTTAAACAAAAAGAAGCCGCTTCAAATTGCAGAAGTGGAAAAATTAAAGTTTGATGGATGAAAAAAATATTTTCATCCATCAAATAACTGGAGAGGATATGGATTCAAAATCTAGCATTTTGTTGGCAACACAACTTTTTGAAATTTTTATTGGAGGGGGGTAGACAGAGGAAGACACAGAGCCATTTCACCTTATTACACCAAGAGCAAAGTCCTATATTCACCAGATAAGTGTGAACCTGTAATTCTATAATTGTGGAACATCAGTACTGAGGGCAGAATTCAACATTCTCCCATTTGCATTGAATCAAACAAATAAACCATCAAGTTTCTAGTCCTTACAGCTGGGCTTGAAACAGTATGGACAAAATCTGATGCAATCTAGTGGGGCAAGGCTTTCAGTGTCTCTTTGTCCCGCAATCCCATTCCCCCACCTTGCAGAAGAAGCAAAGCCTCAGCAATGATGTCTAAAAATTGTTGTAATTTGCATTCTGCAAGCTTTCCTTGGTGGAAATTTTAGGTTGCCTCCCTTTTTTTTTATCCCCACTTCCTTTAAAAGCACAGATTATACTAAGCCTTTCGTGTATGAGACAAAGAGTCAGCAGAGGCCTTTTGGAAGAAGAAAAAGAGGCAGATGACCCTACAGAAAATACTTTAGAAAAGATCAAAGCACTTCCCACTAAGGTCCCGTTTTCCCAGGGCATCAAAACCGTCCCATCCCCAATTTCTCTTATCAACCACGCCGCTCTCTGCCATGACGTTCTATATACAAAGTGAGGGCCGTCCTCTTTGAAGTGCTGGATTAGCCTGGGCCAGATCCTTACTCCAGAATAACAAACAAGGCAAGTTCAGCGGGAGTTCTCCTTGCTAGTTCATTTTTCAACCCCAAATCCACTTTTCACCAAACACAGGAAACCCTGAACCTGTGGCCTTGCGGACAGATCGAAGAGATTTATCTGGTGGCAGTGCCATGGAGGTTATGTGGAAAAGGGGGAGTTTTTATATTTGGGTACATGTTTTTATAACAACTCATCTAATTCTTTTTTTAATATTTAGAACATTCTCTCACACATCTCACAGGAAGGACAGTTAACCCCATACCGTTGCACGAGAGATTTAAACAAAGATTTCATTTCCATTACCATAGGAGGGGAACAGAGTTTGGTTGCTTTACAAGCTGGTTTTAGACTCTCCCAGTGCACCACCCACACCTCAAAATTGACAAAATTCCCCCCCACCCCAAAATAAAAACCCATAACAGAGCTAAAATTAGATTCCCATTTTATTCAAATGTAAATCTTGAAAAGGGCCCTATAAATATCACAGAAGTGGGATCGCGGTTAACGACCCTGCTCTGTTTCATAACCGCTTTAATTGCTCCCATAAAAGACAGAACCAGTGTTCTCCTAGGGGCCAAGGGATGGTCTCTTAAAATCAATAAGCCTTAAAGGATGCTGTTCAGAGAGGACCCAGCCATCGAGGGTAAGTTGTCCCACCAGCTTCAGCCCACCAACAGAGCAGGGGGTGTGGAACAGAAACACTGCACCAGAGAACAGCCTCCATCACACACAGCATTTTGATTTATTTTTGCATGCCATTCCTGACTTGCAAAAATCTTGCTCCTGCAATTGTGAGCCTCACTGATTTTGTTGCGAACTACTTAGCGGTAGAGCACCTACTTTGCATGCAAAAGCTCCTAAAATTCATTCCATGCCATCTCCTGTTTTTTAAAAGGAGGAGCAGCAACACAGTAACTGCACAAAGCAGATTCTCAACAGCCAGGCTGCAGTCCTTTCCCTAACAGGAACTGTGGCGGAGCTATGTTTTTGAAGCTCTGAAGCTTGAAATGTTGTGGAGGGCCATTGGCAATCAGCAATGAGGTCTTGATAACCCCTGCTGCCTTATTCACATCCAGCTTCGTTAACAGAGAGCTTCTTTGCAATGTCATTTTCTGGAGACAATATGTAGAAATAATTTAAACGCTCTTCAGCAGAACAGTCAACTTGCTGCGGTGCTCCACCTTTGCAACACCTGCACCACTGACAATCAAACTTAAGGATTTTCGAAATAGATACCACCATAAATTAATGATTTGAGTCATGGAACTCAAATTGCATCTACTGGACCCAATTCTTTTAAGCAATGTGGACGAATATTGATTTCGGGCCCCCTCTGGGATTCGGGGCCCTGAATAGCCTTGCCATGTCCGATGACACTGATCTAGACCAGCGGCCTGATTTTGCCAACAAAAGAAGGGCAAAACCACTCAGAAAGGTGTTTTAAATACAAGTTCATTGTTTAACTTTGATAAGATCAGCACAAGAGAAATTGCCAGCAAATTCTGCTTTTTGGAGTTTGCATCTAATGCATAATTTCCAATTAACTCTTTTTTAAAAAGAAGAAGAAGTAGAAGATATTCTGCATGCCAAAATAAAGTCATAATAAAACTCTGGAACTGGAAAAACACACAGATTTATGCACTGCGATGTTCAAAGCCTTGTATACTTCTACACACCATATTTTATCCATGAAGGAGTCAACCCATTTTATGCAAAGTTCAGGGAACTTGGTTAACATAAACTTCTTTTTGTTTAATCTTTTGATGATTCCCCTTATAATATGAAATAATCGCTCTGAGTTTCCCCGCCCCACCTTCTGTAACAAAAACAGTCCAACGTTGAAAAGATAGCGAGTGCATTTTAAAGATGTTTCCACTTTATAAATCACAGGCTCTTGGCAACAACGGCGTGCCCATTTGCAGCGTGGAAGTTGCTCTGCTTTTTCAACATCCCCCCGCAGATCAAGCCTACAAGGGAGTAATGAACCTAGTACGTAGACGCTAGCAATAAATTGATGGTAATTTATAGGGCTGGCCTCGTTCTAATGCATTCAAAGGGGAGGGAAAGAATAACGTTTCCAAAGCTGATTGTAGCTGCTGGGACACAAAAGTCCTCCCTTGTATCACACCCCCAATCTTTAAAAATCAACCACGATCGCTTCTCTTTTCCACCTCATCAGTTCACCAAACAAGTTGGAGAAGCCCTGATTATCCAAATCCACCATGGACAATCCTTGGTGTTATTTGAACAAGTAAAATCAAACAAGGAGCGTCCATAGTGAATATGGATAATCAAGGCTTGTGACCACCAGGGGCAAGAATTAGGATGGTAATCTATTTGGTACCAGGTTGATGTATTGCCCCTGGTTGTACAGATATTGGGAGAATCCTGATGAAAATGGAAACAAGAGTGAAAATTGCCAATGTTCACTTATACATCCCATGTTTGGAATGGAAATGAATCCCGTGAATGGGGTTGATGTTCTCCTGCAGAAATAGCAACGGATTTTCAACCCACCATAGCCCCAGACCACCACACCCCTGCCTCTCCCCCACAATGTCTGGGCTTTCTCCAGTGTTAGTCATCCTCAGTCAACCCATTGAGATTAATGGACCCAAGTTAGGTCAGGTTCACTCATTTCAATTGATCTACTCTGAGCAGGACTAACATTGAATAGAATCCTCTACCTGCAATTATAGTGGAGAATTTCAAAGAGGTCATTGGCGCAAGGATCCAGAGCTCAACTAAATAGAACACATACAGACAAAGGACACACACACACATTTAAAAGCAACATTTAAAAATGACAGGATTTTAGAAACCTACCTTCCAGCTTTAGTAATGATCATTTCTGTGCCAGCTTCGTGAAATTTCTTCCATAGTTCTTTCTCATGCAGGTACACCTTGATGTTCTCAATGGTCTTCAACAAGCCAATCAAACAAATAAAGAAGAAGTGAGAAAGCCACAAAAACATAAACTGAGAAAAGTCAAACAAAACACAGCTACTGAGGAACGTCGGTTAGGCCAGACCAAGCAGTAAAGAGAAGAAACAAAACTGGATTTTGTTGTGAACTAAAGGCCAGGCTACCCGGCTGACTGCTCTGGAATTACTCCCAAATCATGCAGGCTCAGCTGTTCCTTGAGTCTAGCAAAGCCCTGTGCAGGAGCCACACATCAGCTGATCAGTCATGCCTGCAAAGCTCTTTAGGCTGAGCCTGGTCTTAATCCGCCCCACACCTGGTTCCTATATGTAAGGTTGGTGGGTGTGGCTTCGCTGAAATGGCCAAATGGGAGGCATAGGAGGACCTAATTATACCCACAAATCAGAGGTTCCCCACCCCTGAGGTAGAGGGTGTGGGGCTGTGCATGCCAACCCCAGCTCGACACATGCAGTCCCACCCACTCCATTCCTGACCTTTCTGCTCATGGGACAGTTTGAAGTGGCAGCGGGGGGGGGGGGGTTAAGTGCATCAACTCAACACGAGAAGCGCTCTGGTGTGAAGACAGAGGCTGGAGGATAGGTTTGCACACGTGGCCCCACAGTCATCGTCATAAGTTCACAGCAAATGTCCTTGTGTCACATCAAGATGTGACCATCAGACTGTTTCAACCACTGCAAGCTTGTGGCAATGAGAAGATCCCACAGTACCGAGTCCACTGTTTCTACAAGCTTCCCTGCTTACCCCTATGTCTATAATTTCGCCTGCCGTCAGTGCCATTTTAAGCACTGCATACAGAAGTTCCTTGGTTCGGTTCCTATCACTCCCTGTTTTCATTTATTGTTATTTATGTACTTTAAGCATCAGGTAGCAGCTGATGGAACAGACTTCTGAATGAGAGACCCTGGAGAGCTTCCAATCAGGGCAGACAAAACTTGAGTTAGATGGGCAAAATAGTCTGGCCTGGGGTAAAAGAGGTGTCTGTGGTCCTTTCTAATAATTTTTTACAAAATTCACACCTTTAAGAATATCTCTTGGAATTAAAAGCAAGTGCCTATACAGTTTGCACATGTTTACTGAAAAGTCCAACTACATTAAGTGAGGCTTAGTTACCTTTTCAGGTAGGTAGGAAAGCTTGAGGTTGTGAGGATAGAGGCTCAACCTGAGGCCACCTATAGAGTCACTAAGCAGATCTAATCAGCTGACTAGATGGACCAAAGACCAAAAGAAGCCTCTCATTGGTTGACTTCACTGAAATCTGCATTTCCCTCCATTTAATGGCTGGTGACTTGTATTTTACTTTAAGATCAATTTTCTTTGACTTTTCATAATCTGCTGGTAATTTGTCTTTTGCTTTTCCTCCCCCTCCCTCCCCAAATAATCAGCTATCAATCATCAGAGCAAACAAGAGTTAAAACTGAGCTTCAGGGCTTGAGGCATAATTGTTATTACTTAAATGCATGTTGAATTTATAACACAACTGGTTTGGGATTTTTTAAAATATAATTTCTGGAGCAAATGCAGGCTCCCTCTCAGTTTCACCTCTCAGCTTTATTATTATACGACTGGTTATAATTCTGATTCAGGAAAGTTGTCAACACTTTATAAAAACACACTTACTAAACAGATTTAGCCAATCAGGAGCCAGGGTGGATTTGCAAGGAAATTTACAATCTTTCTCCCCCTTTTGGCAGAAAGGTACACAATTACATTTAATTATTGCATAAAAATGGCAGGATCTATAACTCTCTTTTTAAAGAAAAAAACAAAACCAACAACCCAAAAAATGTGATTACAATAAATAATTTGGCATATAATACTACTGTGTGGTCAGAACTTTTTTTTCTAGGAAGGTTAGCAAACAAACCACATGGTTAAAATCAAACAAAAACAAGGAAGATGGTGCAGGTTTTTAAGCCAGGGTTTGCCCCCCCCCCAAAAAAAAGTGAATTAAAAATACTCCATTCTTGTAAATCCTGGGAGCCAGTACAGTGAGTTAAGTGTGTTAAACCTGGAGGGGGGAAGGGGGACCTGTGTTCAAATTCCCTCTCAGCCATGCAGCACACTTGGGTGACCATGGACCTTGTCCCCATATATCTCAAACTATAACCTGACTACAGTGGTACCTCTGGTTACGAACTTAATTCATTCCAGAGGTCTGTTCTTAGGCTGCAACCGTTCTTATCCTGAGGCGTGCTTTCGCTAATGTGGCCTCTGGCGTGCAATTTCCGTTCACATCCTGGGGCAAAGTTCACAACCAGGAGCAGCTACTTCCGGGTTAGCGGAGCTCGTAACCTGAAGCGTCTGTAACCAGAAGCGTTCGTAAACAGAGGTACCACTGTATTAGGGTTGATGTGATGATAAAATGAATGGCGGATAATGGTGTGTGGCACTGTCAGCTGCTTGGAGGAAAGGTCGGATATAAACACAATAAATAAATATATTATGACCCCTAAGAATTGTCCATAGAGGAGATTTTAATACCCAGTGTTTCTGTACAGGTCTCTATTATGGGTGTGCCTTCTCATTCAAAAGATCTAAGCCCAGAACATGCAGAGAAGCAACAGGCAGCCTCCTCTGAGGACCAACCGTTCTGCCACATCTCTACACTGGGAGTGATGGAGCGATCCACACCCAATGCAGAACTGCAACGAAACGGCCTGCCATCAATAGAGGCTCATTGGAGGAAAGCAGCAAGCACAAAGCTCTCACTCGTGTAGAGAACCAACATGTGACCATCTCTGAAGGAGAACCATTCTTTGGAGCCTCTGCACTGGAACGACCCAATGAGCTAATCACACTTAAAACAGACACCGTGGAATTCCTTACCTCCAACAGAGGCCGAGCAGAAGCAGCCACAGAGCATTAAGTTATGCAGAGATACTACAGGGCAGCCTCCTCCATTGGGAAGGCAATTTTGGTGCACAGGAGACTAACAACTACATTTGTGTTTCGGAACTACTGCTTTAAGCAGACAAAACCAAATACAATCGGGAGCTGATTATATCAGGGAAGGGTGTCAAGCATGATCTTTAGAAGCATGAGCCCTGCTGGATCAGGCCAAAGGCCCGTCTAGTCCAAACCTTTTTTTCACACAGTGCCCAGCCAGATGCCCATGGGAAGCCTGCAGACAGGACCCGGGTGACACAGAACTCTTTCCCTTCCTGTGTTTTCCAGCAACAGGTATTCAGAGGCATATTGCCTCCCAACCACGGAAGCAGAACATAGACACATTGGCTAGTAGCCACTGATACCTTTATCCTCCGTGAATTTGTCTAATCCTCTTTTGAAGCCATACAAGTTGGTGGCTATAATTTCCTCCTATTGGAGCAGAGCCATAGTTTAATTGCGCCCAGTGTGAAGGACTCTCCTTTTGCCTGTCCTGAATCTGTCAGAAATCATTGTGTGGGTGTGAATTCTAGTACAGTGGTATTTTGGTTGTTGAACTTAATCTGTTCCGGGAGTCCGTTCAACTCCTGGAACCATGGCGTGGCCTCCGATTGGCTGCAGGAGCTTCCTGCACTCAATCGGAAGCCGCATCGTACGTCCGGCTTCCAAAAAACGTTCGCAAACTGGAACACACACTTCTGGGTTTGCGGCGTTCGGGAGCCGATTTGTTCAGGAGCCAAGCCGTTCGACAACCAAGGTACCACTGTATTATGAGAGGAGGGGGGAAACCTCCCTCTATCCACTTTCTCCACACCATGCCTAAACAGACTCATTTAAACATGCTGCATACCTGCTCTGGATCTGGACCCTGGGGGCTGTTCAGAGGCGTACTGCTGACTCCCGCTACACCCAGAACAGGGGAACCCGTTGTGGTTTCAGAATGGCCAGGGGCCTGGGGTGCAGCAAATCCATCCTCCGGCTCAGACAAACTTTTCTCCTGGAGCATTTCCTAAAAAAAAAAAAGCAAATAAGGGGTTTTCAGTCAGTTAAGTAATTTCCTCTCAAATTCCACAAGTGAATATTCCAGACTTTTAGAAGACACCTGAAGGCAGCCCTGTTTAGGGAAGCATTTAATGTTTAATAGATTATTGTATTTTAATATTCTGTTGGAAGCCACCCAGAGTGGCTGGCGAAACAGAGCCAGATGGGTGGGGTATAAATTATTGTTGTTGTTGTTGTTGTTGTTGTTATTATTCCATATAGCTCCAAAGGTTTGTTTCCCTACAGTCAGGATGGGGAATCTCTGTTGTAGACAATAGAGACCCCTGTGGAACCTTAAATGAAACACCTCCCCACTTAGGCTCATAATTAGGGGGAGAAAACGGAACAATTTCCCCATAAAAAATAAACAGCTCAGTTAATTCCAAGCCCAATTTTGAACCAGATCAGACCCTGTTGTATCCCCTGAATGTCATCAAGAGCACAATCGAGTCTCAGCTGCCCACATTCTCCCACCTTGTTGCTGTAACTCCACCAGCAGCAGAGGAAGGAAAGTTTCCCACTCCTTCTGGCACCAGGTTGCTGCAGCTGCAAGCCACATGCAAGCAACATACTGGGAAATGTCATTTTCCCAGGGCTCCCAACATCTGCAAGGAGAGAGGAGCTGACCTTCCTTATATATTAAAAATCTCACCTAGATAAGAACTCACAGGGTCACAATTCTCATGTCCTATTTAAGGTGAACATTACAATCATCAAAACCCACTTTTCTGAGACCAAGTTTTTTTTATTCCTGTATCATCAATAATTAAGCCTTATTTCAGATTATTGCATCTGTCAAAGTCGGCTCTCTATCCTATGAAAGATCTGCCCACAATAAACAGACAAATATTATATATATTTATATATATATATATATATATATATATATTTATATATATATATATATATAATCTGACCCTGGTTTTAAAACAAGGAACCCATATATGAAGCAGGTGTAGGATCTCAAATGAAGAAATGCAGAGCTTGGTGGGCTATTTGGTAGAAACCATAACATCTGAATTGGTTCAAAATTAATGAACTTTGTTCTGCCGCTGAGTTTGTTTCCTTCTGCCCTCTTTTATCTTGTCTCATCTCTAAACTCTTCAGCAGTATGAAGAATATTCTATTCCCACGCTAGTCTTGCCAGCATCACATTTTCCTCAACATGAAAAACATGGCGGTCTTTTCCGGTGTTACAGGAACGGTCACTCTCTCCTGAGTCGAGAAGAATTTTGGACAGACCTTTTTATGCAGGGAAAATTCCACAGAACAAAACCATAGATGTGGCTTCAGTGAAACTGGAGCCCAAATCCATAGAATGAATTAGAATCATCATTAATCTCGCCTTATTTCTGAGATCGTGCCCAACTTTACTCAACAAGGAACCCAGGCTGAGGGCTAATGAAGTGGAGGAAGAGAGGGAAAGTGGGAAAGTGGTGACACCAGCACTCAATCCCAAAGAATGGCAATTGTGGCGGGGGGTTCCCATTCCCAAAGTCTATAGTTTAGGTAGGCCTTAAATGTAAATAGGTGAATACAGCCCTGATACTGATGAAGAAAAGAGTTTGTGAACAAACACCTTCACTTCAAAAGCCACAGTTCAGCCACATCCACCACACAACCTGGTATAAGGGCAGGTCTCTGCAATGTGTAACTCCACAAACTAGACATGTTTTATAGCCAGTCAGGTACTTGTCAACCAGCACTCATCCACCCCTGTTCATACAAGCCCAAACTCAAAATACCTAGTGGGCATGGGTTTCTTTCTCAAAAACAAGTCATGCCAGATGAATCTCAATTCTTTTTTTTGATAGAGTTACAAGCTTGGTGGATCAGGGGAATGCTGTGGGCATAATATATCTTGATTTCAGTAAGACCTTTGACAACGTCCCTCATGATATTCTTGTGAAGAAGCTGGTAAAATGTGGGCTGGACAAGGTAACTGTTAGGTGGATTTGTAGCAGGTTGACTGACCCAACCCAAAGAGTGCTCACTAACAGTTCCTCATCATGCTAAAAAGGGTGACAAGTCGGGTGCCACAGGGTTCTGTCTTGGGCCCGTTATTGTTCAACATCTTTACAAAGGACTTGGATGAAGGTATTGAGGAAACCCAGCCAGATGGGTGGAGTATAAATATTATTATTAATTATTATTATTATTATTATTATGTTCATCAAATCTGCAGGTGATGCCAAACAGGGAGGGGTGGCCATTGCTGGTGAAGACAGAATCAGGATTCAAGATGACCTTAACAGACTGGAGAACTGGGCTAAAACAAAATGAATTTTAATAGGGACAAATGCAAGGTTCTACACTTAGGCGGGAATAACCAGCTACACAAATATAAGATGGGGAACACCTGGCTTTCCAGTGGTCCATGTGAAAAGGTTGTTGGGGTCTTAATAGACCACAAGCATAATATGAATCAACAGTGTGATGCAGCAGCAAAACAACAAACCCTAATGCTATTCCAGGCTGCAGCAACAGATTAGTTTCCAGATCAAGGGAAGTAATAATCCTGCTATATTCTGCCTTGGTCAGACCCCACGTGGAGTCCTGTGTCCAGTTCTGGGCATCATAATTTATAAAGGATATTGACAAGCTGGAACATATGCAGAGGACAACCAAGATGATCAAGGGTCTGGAAGCCAAGCCTTATGAGGAACGGCTATGGGAATTTGATATGTTTAGATTGTTGAAGAGGAGACTTAGAGGGGCTGTCACATGGAGAATGGAGCAAGCTTGTTTGCTCCTGCTCCATGGGGTAGGACCCGAACCAACGGCTTCAAGTTACAAGAAAGGAGGTTCTGACTGAAAACCAGGAAAAACTTTCTTACAGTAAGAGCTGTTCGACAGTGGAATAGACTCCCTCAGAAGGAGGTGGCCTCTTCTTCATTGCAGCTTTTTAAGCAGAGGTTGGCTGGCCATCTGTCATGGATGCTTTAGTGAAGATTCCTGCATTGCAGGACTAGAGGACCTTTGCAGTTCCATGATTCTAAACCATACATGGCTGGTGGCCTTTGCCAAGCATGGTGGGTTGCTTGCGAGTCAGGTCAGACTCTATGAGAGGGAAGAGTTTCCCAGACATGACCACTGACAGCTTGAGGATCCCATTTGGCATAAATTAATCTTAACTCCATCCAGAAAGGCTTGAGGTTTGGCACCTCTATTTAAACCACAAATTCCCAAGGTCCAGTTCTAGCTAGGATCCATCAATTTTGGTTTCTCGTTTTTCCAATCTTATAATCAGTTTGTCCCAATTCCACATCAGCTTGCCAGCGTGCCTTTTTAAAAATTAAAATAATAATAATAAATTCTGCATGAAAATCGATACGCATTTTGCAAAGGCATTTCTCCTAATGCACATTTTTCTGCAACCAATTTCCCAAGGCAGTAATGCATTTTTATACATTATTTTCACTGATATATAGTTTTGTGCACAGTCTTCCCCAACATGTGCTTTTCCTGTAAAGGGGAAAAAAATGATTGGAGGACTGCATCAAAAAATAGGGAGACGTGCAACTTTCTAAGTATAGCTGCATTTCGGTATGTGCATTGGAAGCACAAATGAGAAGCGTTTGCATTAAAAAGTGAACCAAATGAATTTCTCCCCAATCCCTCATTCTAACCCAAGCAAAACCAAAAGCTGATTGCTTGCCTTACTGTTGCTCCTTGCTGCATTGTTTTTAATGTGGTATTTTGGGGTTTGTTGCATAATACATTTATTAATTAAGCTGCTCCAGGCCCTGGATGAGCAGAATATGAGAAGAGATGTAGCTCAGCAGCAAAGCAGATGCCTTGTGTGTAGAAGGTCCTGGGTTCAATCCTCAGCATCTTTGGGTAGGGATGGCAACGTCCCCTATCAGGAACCCAGGAGAGACACTGCCAGTCAGTGTAGGGACAATACTAAGCCAGGCAGACCAGTGGCATAGGACGGCTTTGTTTGTTGAGTCTGACTGGCCAGTTTTGTAGTGGCAAGATTCCTGAACAGAACAAGGGGATTGGACTAAATAGTCTTCAATACCTCCTTCCAACTCTGAAATTCTAAAATTCAATGTCTTGATCCATTGCCATTCATTCATAGCAACACAAAGACCTGCCTTATATTGAAATAGACTATTGGTCCATCTTGTTCAATATTGTTTACACTGACTGGCAGCAGCTCTCGCTAGGGTTCCAGACCAGGGGTCTTGCACTACCTAGAGATGCTGGGGTTGAACCCGAGGCCTGTCACTGAGTTGCAGCCCTTCACACAAGATTTGTTGCTTGGTGCTACATATGAAGAAGGGATGGGCTTGCACATATGAATGCCCTCTCCTAACTACCAGCTCACTCACCCCCAACATAGTATAGCTAAAGTATACTTAAGAATGCAGCTTCAGACTATGATCCTAACCACATGGTGTTAAAAGTGAGGCAGGAACAAACAGCACAGGAGACTGACCAAACATCGTAAGTGAGCAAATGTGTTCAGCCACAAAAACATCAGAAGGGTCTGAGCCAAAGGCCCATCAAGCCCAGCATTTTCTTCTTACAGCGGCCCTCATAGGAAACCCACAAGCTGGACAGCAGCACTCTCGTAACTTGTGATTCCCAGCAGCTAACATTGTATAGGTAAAGGTAAAGGGACCCCTGACCAATAGGGGTTGCGGCGCTCATCTCGTTTTACTAGCCGAGGGAGCTGGTGTACAGCTTCCGGGTCATGTGGCCAGCATGACTAAGCCGCTTCTGGCGAACCAGAGCAGCGCACGGAAACGCTGTTTACCTTCCCGCCGGAGCGGGACCTATTTACCTACTTGCACTTTGACGTGCTTTCGAACTGCTAGGTTGGCAGGAGCAGGGACCAAGCAACAGGAGCTCACCCCGTCGCAGGCATTCAAACCACCAGCCTTCTGATCAGCAAGTCCTAGACTCTGTGGTTTAACCCACAGCACCACCCGCGTCCCATGGTATACAGGTACATAAACACACTAGAAACTTCCTTATACGCAAGTCAGACCACTGGTCATTGAACACTGTCTACACTGATCAGCAGCCACAGCTCTCCAAGAGTTCAGACACGAATATTCCTAACTCTACCTGGGGGTACCAGGGATTGAACCTAGGATATCCAGGATGCAAAGCAGATGCTCTACATAAGAGCTACATACTGCAGCTTGATCAGGCCGAGAACCAAGAGGTGGCCCTATACTGTATAGCTGCTGCTTCTAGCTTGGGTTCCCCTGGTCTGAAGAACTCCTCTGTGCGGGATAGAGCAGCGGTGGTGAACCCATGGTCCACGGGTCACATTTGGCCCACGCATCTGTTTCTAGTGGCCTGGCAAAGTGTTTGGCTGCTAAACAGACTCATCCTTCCTTCCCTTGCACCACCCCATCACTTTTGTGCCCTTGGAACCTTGTCTGCCTGCTCTAAATCCCAACACCTAGGTTATTTGGACCACATTAGCTAGTAGGAGTCTGTTTAGCACCCTATACCCCCACTAGGTATAGATGTAGAAAGAAAGAAAGAAAGAAAGAAAGAAAGAAAGAAAGAAAGAAAGAAAGGCAAACCCATTGCATGTCTACTTGACTACTGCATGCCACAAAGGCCAGGTGGGTATCTCCAGTAGGAAAAGACACATGTCTGAACTCCAGGAAAGCCACCATCCGTCAGCAGAGACCAGCAGAGACCAGGGATGGAGAAACTGTGCCCTACCAGATGTTGCTGGACTCCAGCTTCCAACATCCCTGATGATGAACTGTGTTGAATGGGACTGGTGGGAGCTGCAATCCATCTGGGAGGAGCCACAGGTTCCTTATTCCTGGAGCAGCAATTCTGAATTGGATTGGAAGAGTGGTCTGACAGTCTGCGGCAACTTCCTACGTCCCTGTGCTCCTGATGTATCCCCCCACCACCCTGCAGTTGTTGCAAAGGATTTTGGGGCATACTCTAATTTTACTCACCACTCCAACCAACGCTATCAGACCTCACTAGAGATGTTGGGAAGCCTGGTCTTCTCACTGAGGAACCCTTGCTGAGCTGCTGAAGAACCTCAGTTTTATCCCAGAAGGAATATAGTTGGAAGAATATTGCGCTAGATATTTTTTTGGGGGGGGTCACCTTTCACACAGCGATACAATAGTAAAGTCCCACTGAAATCAATGGGGCTTCCATCTAATACATAATAACATTATGAGACTCTTAGGTAAACACCAGGGAAGAGAAAGTGAAGGTTTGTGGGATGGGGGCCGAGGTATTAAAGACTGGGATAGGCTTCCAAAGAAAATGACATCATTTACCCATGCATCCTCAACACACACACACACACACAGAGAGAGAGAGAGAGAGAGAGAGAGAGTTTGGTTCACATTGTATCCAAATTCATTTTGGTTCAAAGCCAGTTGGGAACTCGCTCAGTCTAATCTCATGGAACAGAAGTGGCTAGACTCCCTAATGGATATAAGCCGTAGGCCCCAGAGTGAGCCAACACATAGCTTTTTATCTTTGTGTCTTTTACTAAGTTCTTGCAACTTCTTTCATAATGGCCCTTGAGATTTCTCCCCCACCCCCACCCCCAATTCAAATACTTTGGAAGTTCAAGAGACCAAAATTCTAACAAACAATGTCATTTTTTTTCCTCCCCCAAATTCAAATTTAGATAGCATAAAATGTGGTAGTGGTGTTTTTAAAGAAAAGCTGTTAGAGTTACAGAGACGCATCATTACCCACCCATTGGCGATACCGATTCCCCCTTAAAACTTTATAATTCCAGGACTTTTCCTCCGTTTTCTGTATCAATGCACGCTGGCTGAACATAAGCTGTTTTTCAAGAAAAACTTCAGCGGCAGTATTATATGGTAGGGAGAGATGCTCTTTGGTTTGAGGAAAGCAGAAGACCTGGTGTGTGTGTTGTTGAGCCTCTAACATCTCCTTGGAAATACCTTTCTCCCCTCTCTTTAAATACATGAACTGTGTTGATTCTATTATTGCACTTGCTGTACAATAATATCTCTTTTCAGTCTGGGAATTATTTATTTTTAACAGCTTCAGGAGGTGACCCATATGAACTGAATACCAGTGGCTGTTCTTGGGAACGTAAAGAAATGGACCCCATTTTTCACCTCTCTTCCACTTAGGATTGCCAACTAACCAGAAAAAAATGACTTGGCCTTGCTCTTTTAACAGCAAGTACAAGGCGAAGGTTTCCACAACCATGGAGATGCACATGATTACCTGGTTATGCCTTTAGATCATACTACCGTTAACAGCACAGCAGATTTAACCAATTTTTTAAAAACCCTCCCAAATTTTACCAAGTCTATTGTTTTTCTACAGATCTCCCTGCCCAGGCATAGGCAAACTCAGCCCTCCAGATGTTTTGGGACTACAACTCCCATCATCCCTGACCACTGGTCCTGTTAGCTAGGGATGATGAGAGTTGTGGTCCCAAAACATCTGGAGGGCCGAGTTTGCCTATGCCTGTCCCTGCCTCTTCCCAAATTTGGAGACAGATTAAAAGTTGCCAGCCGGCTAAGGCTGGTCATCATTACTAAATCCCACTGAAGGAAGCAACCAGATTTTAGTTACTCTTAACTTGTTCTATTGGTTTCAGAGAGACTTCCACGACAATCCTAAGCACACTTACTAGGGGGTCCCACTGAGTAATGTGCACAGGATAAGGCTATTAACATCATGCAGAAAATAATTACCACAAAGTCAAAAGCCACAGAAAGGCAATGTGGTTAGTAGGGGTGTTGAAAAGAATGCCACAAAATAGTGAGCAAGTCTTATGGTTCAGTTGAAGAAGGGTCCTGGATAGCTCAAAAGCTTGCTTGTTTTGTTCCAGGTTTTGATTTGGTTTTTTGCAGCATTTTAGTTGGTCCTCAAAATAAGATACTACCTGGCTGTAACTTCTGGATTTTTCCTAACAGACGAGCATGCCTACTACTGATTTTTGTATGGTCACCGGGATTTAAGTTTAGCTCGACTAGAGCCAACCATTTTTAAGAGAGTTTCAAGTAGCTTGAGAGAAGTATTGCTGCCCATGGCTCGGGTTATTTTGTCCCATTGTTATCTCTGGGCAAATTGACTTTGGGAATGATATCAGACTTGTGAGACCTGCATTGCGAGATGCAAAAGCACCATGTACAGTACATGCAAAAGAGGTCCTCCTTTCACATCGCCCTTCAACTTTATACGTATTCTCCTAATTTTGTCCTGCATTATAAAGAAAGGACAGTTTTAAAATTCCCTTTCCCCCTGATTCCCAAGAGGGTACCCAAATTGTTCCTTGGCTTTGAAGGATATTTTTAAAAGCATCTCCCACACCCCCAGTTGCCAGCAAACTGGGTCACAGACATAGAGGTCTTCTAAGCTAAGGAACATAAATTCAGAAATGATACACCTTGACTGCATATTTTTTTTCCTGTAGTGTTGGGGACTAAACAGCAAATACAAGAGGGCATTCAGATAGGCTAGCTTTGAGTTAACATATGAGGGCAATATTCAAGTTAGGGGCAGCAGCAGAGAGGCAGGAAGGAAAGACTCCTCCTCTCCCCCCCCCCAAAAAAACTCCCCACAGCTAGCCCAAAAAAACTACTTAAGCTGGGCTGCAGCTGTTCCCAGTGAAAAAGGGGAGGGGAGGGTCTCAAACTGGAGCCTGTTAGAAATTCTGGCTTAAGTATGCTAAATGCAACTAGATTCCTATGCATGCTTACTTAGGAGTAACAAAGCAGGGTGTGTTAGGACTGCAGTCTTAGAAAGTGAGTTTGAGCATCACTTTTCTCATGTAACAGAATCCTCTGCATGTTTACTTACAGGTTTTTTTCTCACAGTTCAGACTTACTCCCCTTAGCACATTTAGAGCTTGAGCCTATGAATGTTTACTCAAAAGTTAAGTCCAAAAGAGGCTGCAAATCTATGCACATTGATTTAGAAGTCCCATTGAATTCAGCAAAATTTTCAGTGATGCTGACTGAAACCTGTAAACTTTCGAGTCTCATTGAACTCAGTGGCACTTACTTCTGCATGTTTAGGCTTCCAGGCTTACTGAGAAGTAAACTGCATTGAAATCAAAGGAATTTACTCCTAAGTAGATTTACTTTTTGAATGGCAAGAGACTGACTGGTAGTTTTTCTACCTTTCCCAGCACATTCAGATTCTTATCTTTTTCTCTTGGTTATGAAAATATGTGATTATTTTCTGCCACTGGAAGATTTAATTTTGTTGGGGAAGGCTTCCCATAATGGATAAATAGTAATATTGCGGACATCAATCAGATCTCTTTACGAACGCCTTTTCCCATCTCAATCTGGCGAATGAGACTTCATCCTTCCAAACCTAAACTCATTTTCCTTCAGGTTAAAGCTGCACAGCTATATGCAAATTTCCTCGGAGGTCTCATTGAACTTAAGGGCGGTTTACCTTAGAGTAAGCATGTGCAGGATTGGGTTGCATTCCTCACAATCTATTTCTGAGCAAGTGGGTTTGAAGCCCCTTACTCCTGATTCTACCCTGGGATCAATGGAACTTAGAATCCATGTGAAAAACTCCCTTAATTCCCCACCAGATGAAAATACCTCCTCAGGGGCTAGCCTTGTCCGCTTTAAAGATCTTTAGAGAGTCCCACAAAGTTACAGGCAATCCACAAATCTGACTTAATTCTAATTTTAACGTAATTTTACATATTGTTCCTGCTATCTGCTGGGATACCAAGGCAACACATATGTGATACATTTTTTAAAAAAATCCTACAAGTGTATTCCTATAGCATGCTTACTTGGAAGCAAACTCATTTAAACTCAGTGATACTTACATCTGTGTATAACATGCAAAAATCTAGCCCTATTAGTCAACCCCATTGGACAAGGTTTTTCCCTTGCGCCTAAAGATATAAAAAGGCATGCAAATGTTCTCGTTCATAACATTACTTAAATTAGATTCAGGGGAACGGGAGGCTGCAATATTGCTTCCCACCCCCAACTCCTTATCTGGAGTCCATTTTAAAACTTTGGTAATAATACTAAAAACAGACGAAAAGATGTTCTGTGTAAACATCCTAACGGTGAGCCTTAGTTAAGATAAAAGGGCCTGCCTTCTCCTAACTCCGACAGTCACTGGGAAAAAAGCAATAAAGATAATACAGTGAGGGGAGGCAGACAGCTTTTCTCCCAAGTTTTACTAAGCAGATTAGAGGCAGGGTGGGGACACCCAAAAATCTAACAATGAAATGTGCAATATAAAAGCTAAGCCTGAAAAAAAGATCAGATCAATTTCACTCCCATGCTGAAATTTACAAACAAATGGATTGTTTCTATTCCCCAAGCAGCACCATTAATGCAGATCTGATCCTGTGCAACTTTTACTTCAAATTAACCCCTGCTGGGTATAATAAAAATAAATAAAACACACCCCACTTCAAGTATATTTCAGTGAGGTTGGAATCCTAGCCCCCATTTACCTGAAAGCAAGCCCCATTTGGATTCAATAGGACTTGCACCTGAGTGGACATGGTAAGGACTGCACTCTGCAATCCTTAGCCATGTCTACTCAGAAGCAAGTTCTATTGAATTCAGTGGGGATAAGTAGTCTCAGGATCACAGCTTTATTTATTACTGTTATTTAGTGTTGTTTTTATTGATTTTAAGCATTTTTATCTCTTGCCTTTCTAACAAAAATTCAAGGCTGCTTACAAGTCACCCTTATTATAAAACTGACCAAAGATGATGATAATAAGCTTGAGAGCCAATGCTGATTAAGGATGCTTAGGCACTACTGGCCACATGTGAACTACGCAAAACAAGAAGTACATGGTAAAAAGTGGAATAAAATTATTGCAATGTGACTTGCTCCTAAGTAACCCTGATCTTCCTCAAAATGCAGTCTTGGGCATGTTTTACTCAGAAGCAAATCCCATCATCTTCAGTGAAGCATACTCCCTAGACAGTAGCATGCTAAAGGTACTAAGAAGCTTAGCCGACCCAATTCACACGTGATGTACTATCAGTATGTTGAAATGTAACTAAACTTTACTACAAGGAACCCATTGCATTTGCGTGTGAGTCGTGTGTGTGATCTCACTTTGAAGGATGTCCTCAAACTCCAGCCCCACTAAAATAAAACTTGCACGCGGTATCCTATGTGGAAATTAACTGTGCATAGATTTCAATGGGATTTGATTTTGTACCCAATGTGACCTCTCCTTACACAAAACTGGAAAATTAAGGTGGTAAATTTAGGGTTAAAAAGTCACTGAAATGAATGGACTTGAAAGTTGGTGAAGTCCAGTGCTTTCAGTGGAATGTGACTTAGTTGGATACCACCCTTAGGACCCAATCAAGGTGTGTGTCTGCTCAAATCAAACACTCTTCCAGATTTGTTTTTATTTGTGGGGAGGAAATCCTGCTTTCCTTGAAGCAAAGCGTGTTCATTTCATTTGGAGAGCTTGCTTAGAATCCATTTTTTAAAGGATTCCACTCACACCCTGGAGTAACTTTTGTTAATCCTCACACACAAGACTGCACATTTTCCTGGGAGAAGCTCCCATGCCTGGGAGTACGCCTCTGAACACGGGAGGTTTTACTTATGAGTAAACAACCACGGGATTTTATTTGCTTGGAAGGAAGTCACGTTGAGCTCTCAACAGGACTTCCTTCAGGGCTCTAAAATCTTCTTAGAGTAACCTGGGAGGACGCATAGCGCACAGAGGATTCTATTTGCTTGCGACTTTATCCTTTACACGGCCGCTTGAAGCGCATATCTAACATCTTTGTTATCTTACGTGCAACCCCTTGGTCCGTTTTACCTTAAACTAAACCCCACCGATTAAGAGAGATTTACGTACTTCAGAATGAACTTGAATAAGGTCCTGCAGATTCCGGGACGGAATCCTACGCACGTTTACCTCTGAATTAAGTCCCTCTGATCTCAGAGGAATGCACAATACGTCCCCTCATAGGAATGCACAATACGTCCCCTCCGCTTCCCCCCCCCCAAAGTAACCTCGGATTTAAATCTGATGCACAATTTCCTACAAATCCCATTGAGTTCAACGGGGATCAAGTTCGAGTAAGTATGCACAAAGGCTGCCTCACTTCGGTCTACCCTAACAAGCTATTTATTTAAAAGAGTCTACTAGACGGTTTTACTGATTTTAGTTTAAATGCGCTAGCCATGTCTTCCTTTCAAGACGACACCCTCGTCGTGAGAAGGTGAGTTCACCGGCTTACAGCAACACCTCGGTAGGCTTTTCTCATAAGAAAGTCCAATTGAAATCAAGGTGACTCTTACTTTCAAATAAATGTAGCCCTCTGGGTTGGGGGGGCTGTCACGTGTCAGTCATGGGGGTACAATCCAGAAGCTACCTAAAGTGTCTGATGGGCCACTGATTCACGCCTCCTGTGTAAACACAAGACACCCAAGCCCTGTTGATTTAGAGCAATTTATTCCTGAGTAAATAAGGAAGATCCCCCTTTTAAAAACAGGTTATTGAACGCCTTTCATGTTGCGCTCTCTCTCCCTGTTGTTCTCACCGCCACAAAATCCGCTGTGTTTCCCCACCAATTTAAATCACAAAACAAAACCCCACCAATTTAAATCACAATGCAAATATAAACGGGGGGGGGGCGTTTCCTCTGGAGTAAAAATCTTACCAAACTCGAGGGAGCGTCCTTCTGGGTAAAACACGCTTTAAGGTGGCTTGTGTGTGTGTTTGGATCATTCAAGAGTGTGAAGTTCTTAAACAAAACCTCGGGTAGAGGGTTGCCCCATATTTAGCAGCCGGCGGGACTTAGACTAAGTAAACATGCCTGCTATGATCAGGCAGCGTAATCCGATGCTCTGCCTGTTTATTTCGGAAGTAACTGCGCATAGGGGTTGCAGCCTGAATTGAGAGTTAGTTAAAAAGCAATGCAACCGTTTAATTGAGCTATAATTCAAAACACACACACACACATATACAAAGTTTAGTAAGCATTCCCGAGTCTTTGGGATGTGGGGGAGACGCAACACCAAGCACTCGGAATAAACAAACTAAGCGAGTGTAACTGACCAGGGTGATTCATACTGGTAGGAGTTGACAGCAGTATAAAATCGCTCTAAAAATGCATTGAATAAGGCGGCCGCCGACGCGCAGGCTCTGTTCACGCGTTGCCTCGCAGTTGTGATTTCTACCAAACACGACCAAATTTGGGTTCTAGTCCTGCCCCAGCCATTTCCTCGCAGCGATATTTCTGCAGGATCCAAGGGAACTCGATGGGGTTGTATGGACTTTTCTCCCCGACGCCCCATCTAGGAGGACTGCGGCGCGGCTCTCCCTCCCTCCGACGAGCCTTTTCGCCTTTGCCCCCCAGTGAAATAAATCCCACTTTTGCCTGTCACATGCCCTTAAGTGTTGTTTTCTGGCTTTACAACTTCACCCTCACCTCCATCTTCTGTCTTTTTCTAAAACCCTGTTTCTCCTTCCAAATTTACAAACATTGAACCAAGTCAGCTACGCACCCCCACCCCCAGTTTCAACAGTTTTAAGAGGCGGGGTGCAGACCAAAAAAAAAAAGGGGGGGGAGAAAGTATCCCGCAATACAAAGGCATGGAAATTTAAAATAATAGTAGATTTTGTTGTTTATGCCCCCAAATCCCACCTTTACGTTTTACGCACCATTTACTTGTAAAGAAGCCCCATTTGAACACAGCAAGGAATGTTGCGGATCAACATCCATACGCTTGTGTGGCATGTCAAATTGCAGGTAAACGACCCTGCAGCCTCATTTTTTTAGCGGGGGGTGGGGGAGGGAGTTTGTTTACTTAATTGTATGCACCTGAATTTTGGAAACGAAAAAGTCTGGCTGCCTGAGATTTACTTCACATAACAGAGCAGCTGTAAAGCGAATGAGGCCTAGTCAGAAACCAGGCTGCATTTGCCTCGCGTGCAGCGACCTGCGTTGGCTCCGGAAACTGTAAAACGCCGCCTGGACGCTGAGGGCGCTACCATAGTCATCTCACTACAGTATTCACGTGCTCTTAGGAGGAACGCAAAAGTACCTATAGTAAGTATATATACATTAGGAGGCGGCAGAGAGAACGTCTGGGCGCTATGGGCAGGAGGCACTGGTGCGCGCATGGAAACCACCAGGAATTGCTCAGCCTTAAATGGGATCGTTCCCCCTCCCCCCACACACTTCCCCCCATACAATATCCCTTGCAATCCTATCCGCTACTCTATGCCCGACTTTCCTGGGTCTATTGGGACTTACTTCCAGGTCAACTTGCCCAGGACGGCGCTGCAAACGGGAAAGCTTCTTTGCATGCCTACTCCCACTGTTCAAGAGTCACCGGATTCAATGGCGCTCGTTTCCAAGTATCTCCCTCCATGGCGCGTCTGGGACTGCGCCTACCTGCTGCTGAGGATATAGCATTTCACGTCCGCAGAAAGCAGGGTGGGGGTGGATGGGCCAGGCTGATGCTTTACTCCCAAGTAAGCCTGCTTGGGATCGGGGAATGAGGCCTCCCTGGATGTCTAGCTTGTCCAAAACGCCTTAGGCTTAAAAAGGGGCGCTCTGGTGACGTCTGAGCGGCGCGATCACCAGCACGTTTAAAACCACACACGCACTTTCCTTTTTGTTTTCCTTTTCTTAAAGGAAAGGAACCATTTATCTACACACCATCCTGAAATCTCTTTTTTTTAAAGCCAGCTTTTAAAAAAACGGCGGCACAGCGGAAGAGAGTAAACTTCCCTTTGCCCAACCCCCAACCCCCTTTTAAAAGTAGGTGCGTTGGAGTTTTATATAATGCATGCCTTGACATTTACACAAACAGGGAGGATTCTGGCTATATTTGTTTGTTTTAAAAAACAGATTTAGCCAAGCGATTTTAACAGTTTATTTCAAGAGGAAAGCTAACATGCTGCTCAAAGGGCACCCAGAGAGGTCGCTTTTATTGGGATACCTACAATGCAACCCTACAAAGGTCTACTCGCAAATAAGCCCAGTTGAGTTCAGTGGGATTTACTCTCAGGCATGAGCGTGCATATAGGCGCAGCTATAACTACAAATCTGCTTTTCTGGGAGTAGGCCCCACTGACGCCAGTAGGACTTACTTCTGAGTTGACATGAGCCGGAGCGCCCTGTTAAGCTGCAACCCAACACGCACTTAGTCTGGAAGAAACTCGGTCCAGCATCTTTCTAAACCCACATGCCTACCAGGGACATTTAGGCAGCGTGCAAGGTTCCCTTATTTTAAAGGACGGTCTGTAAGGTGCTGAGGTGTGTGACACTTGCAGTTAAAATACACTGCTCGTATTTTTAAAAAAACCAAAACACATAGGAAGAAGTTTTGTGGGTGGGTGTGTCTCATCATCGATATTTTAAAAGAAAATGTTCAACTTGGTTCCTCATACGTGGTGAAGGCCACCTAGAATTAGGAAGCTATTTGTTATTAAAATAATTAGAGGGAGAGGAAGAAAGTATCATTCCACCCCAAAACGTATGCCTGTTTGATTCTCAAATAAGTTACATATTTCATGCAAGTTTGGGACCAAAGACCGGAGTGAAAGAAACATTCCGCCTTAGCTGTGTAACGCGAGGCACATTTATTTACGGGCAAATGCCGGAGATTTACGTCTTCTAAATAACTTACTCCAGAGTAAGTTCACGTAGTGTGGTTGGCTTCAGAAATCCAACTCATAAAACAAATGCCAGCTGGCCACCATTGACTTGGCCAGATTTCTCTCGGCCTCAGTTTCCCCGTCTGTAACATAGCGGTGGCCTTGCTCTCTCACACACAAGCTGCTTCAAGGGCAAAACGTGGCCAGGGAAAATTATCATCCTTGATTTTAAGAACAGCGCCGTTTATATTATTGCAACTAATCATCCTATGAGGACAACAAAAACAATGCATTTGTGTTGCTACTGTTAATATTATCATGTTAGATCTTGATTGAATTAATGATCAAGTTGGATGGGGACCCGGTTGGTTGGTTGGTTGGTTGGTTGGTTGGCAGGCACCCGTCTGTCTCTGGACACAAGGGAAGACCGCGGCTTTGGAGGTGAAGTCAAACCGTTGGAGAGCTACAGCCACGACATACTTTTTTTTAAAATGGGTAGGCCATGCTTGATTAAGTGTCTAGATTTCCACTCAGTGCCACCACTTGGAGGATCGACCCCCACCCCCACCCGGAATATTAGAAATCTAAGGTGAGTTCCCCCAGTTGTACTTGGAGCGCTGCCAGTTTCTTTTAAGTTGATTTTTTACTGTAGGCTCTGCAGAAATCAGTGGGTTTAAACTTTCCAAGTTTAAAGCGTAGTTTAATATCGGAGGCTGGCGCATCTCCCCCGCCCCAACGCGCACACACTCTTTTAAATTCCCGGGGAAACTTCTTCCTACGTCGTCTTCCCCTTCCTTCCTACTCCTCCTGTACTACAGGAGGTTCAACCTGGCCACATTGGTTCAAAAAGACTTCTCAAACAAGCGCTCTCCAAAGCGCGGACGCTTTTGTTTACATCCAGTTTCCCCAACTCCTCCCCGCCGCCCCGAAGGTAACGCGGGTTCAGATGAGTTGTCTGAAGTTCAAAGCCGAGGGTGTGGAAGGAACACCGTTTCTACGCAGGCGCCACTCCCCATAACTTTTATGTATTAGTGGCATTAATGTTTAAGGTGTTATTCTTTCGAATCCACCTCCGTCGGGAGTCTGTGACGTTCCCGAAGTAAAGGCAGAGATGTTGGCAAATGCGCATTCGCCATATATAGAGTATAGAGGGAGTTACAAAGTCCTGAAGGATAAAAAAACACACGCCCCTAATTTCCGACTACTATGTTGGCAAATCGATCTGGTCGTCTTTTTTGTCTTTCTTTTTTTTTTAAGAAACGTTTTCAAAATACTTTCTCTTTCTGCTTCTAAATGGGTTTTTATTCCCACCTCCCAAGATCTCCATCTATTGCATAAAGTTGCAGGTCTTTGAACTCTTTTTGATTAGAACATGCCTTCTTGGGGGGGGAAAGGCCTTTCAAAATGATAATTTACTTTTTTGAAATGTGATATATAGCAACATTAGCTCTGTACTTTTTGTTTTCCGGTACGCAAAGTTGTGCGGTCGAATTATCAAGTGAATGAGTGATCTAGTGCTGTGAATCTTGCTAGTCAGGGAGTCCTATTGAACTCAAGGGGCCTTCCTTTTGAACAAAGATGGGCAGGTAAAAATAAATAAATCATCAGATTAAAGTGAGAGTATCTAGAGTGTGATAGGAAAAAAAATACTTTGAAAAATAAAACTTACACTGGATCTTTAAAAATAATTATTAGGGAGTGTGTGGTTTTGGCAAATCCATTACAAATTCTAGATAGCAGCTTTTTTTTTTTAGAATGTTCAACCTAGAATGCTATAATACCCACTTATATGTGTATTTTTTTTTAAAAAATTATTTCATTCCCGCCCTCCATTTTCTTTTCATTCAGAACCTTGCCCAAAAGATTCATGCTCCCTCCCCAAACCTTGGCGATTCCTCTCCTCCCCTAGAAATAACAGCAGTGGAAACGCATTCGCCATCACATAGGCCCCTGTGATGAGTTTGGGGGATACATACATAAGCTCAACACAAATTGGAGGGGACGCGCGTGCACGTACATATAAGAAAGGAGAGGTTGGCTGAAGCGCAACCCAACAACTGCACATAATGTTGATCTGGACCCAACCTGGCAGGTCTCCCCTCCCTCTTTTTCTACTGGTGGTGGTGAATTCATTCCTGTAGTTTCTAGCTTGGTCCTTCCTCTTCTCCCTCCACCCACCCCCACTCTGTGCCTGGCAAAACGCTGGCGAGGTGGCAAACACTTCCTTTGGTTTGCTCCCTCCCTCTCCATCCACCACCCCCTTTTTAACCTAGCTGGGGGTCTTTACTTTGCGATGTGTGTGTGTGTGCGTGTGTGTTGCGGCGCGGTGGGGGGGAGTGGAGAGAGAAACTCTTGACTCACAGTAATCGCTCGAGGCTTGACGCTGCTGGAACGAGAAGTCTGGCGAAGTTTCGCTGCTGTTGCTTCATCAAAAGCATCCAAGAGGGATCAGCATCCTTGTTAAAAAGACGGGTGGGGGTGGGAAATCACCCTTCCTTTCCCAAATCCTTTGAAGAAGAAGAAAAACTCGCACGAACATACAAAATAACCACCACCAAAGGATAATTTAAAAAGAGTCCGGTTCTGGTTCTATATCCTTAAAAAATGAATCTGCTTTTTTATTTTATTTTTCGGGGGGAAAAGAATACGCAGAGAGAGGGGATCCCAAATGGAGAGAGATGGTTCCTTCTAAGCTGGTCTATTCCCATAGATCTCGTTTTGTACCTTTAAGATCTCCTCTTAAAATGTTCCATTAAATAAAAGAGAGAGAGAGAGAGAGAGAAAGGGAGAGAGAGAGAGAGAGGGAAGAGGGAAGAGAGAGCGCCAGTTTGGAGTCTTGACTGCCCACCCTTCTTGCCGCCCCTCCCTCCCTCTCCTCTGCTGACGTTGCTGCTGTCAGTCTTCGGGAGTTCCAACTAGTTTCTTACTTAGGATCTTCCAAACAACCGGGGCCCCCTTCTCCTTCTATTCCCCATCGCCGCCACACTCTCCCTCAACCTGCAGTCCCCTTTCCCAAAACTGGCCCTGCCTCCTCACCCCCTTTCTCCCCCCTTTTTGCTCAGAGCACCATGGAGCCAAGCTGGGACAGCACCATCTCGTCCCTCCACCCTGAACTCCCTTCCCAATGTTTGGATGCTGCTTTCGGAAAGGGAGGGGGGGTCAGAGAGGCACATCATGGTTTAAATTATAGTACATCTGGAGAGCACAGTCAGGCAAATAACATGCTCGGGGCATCAGCTAATAATACTGGCTGAACGGCGAAAGAGATAGCAGGCCTTCGGCTTTTGAGCATAAAAGCCCACATCTATATCAAGGGCCAGATATCTGGGAGGGGGGACAGACAGTGCACACCCTGCCCCAAAAGAGGAGCCCCAAAGCACAAGCAAGAGAGAAGGGATGTAGCCCAGTAGAGGAGAATCTGCTTTGCATGCAGAAGGTCCCTGGTCCAACCCCAACATCTCCAGACAGGCCTGAAAAAGATTGCCTGCCTGAAACATTGGAGAGGTGCTGCCAGTCAGTGTAGACAACACTGGGGCCAATGATCTGACTCAGGATTATCTTTCTGTGTCCCCAGGGCTCTCCAGCGCTCCTGCTGAAACAAGCAAGGAGGTCTGTGCCTTTAAAACAGCAGTACAGCAGACTAGCTATCCAACAGGTGCTGCTTCTCCTTCCTGCTGCAGAGTGTCTGTCTGTGGCATGCAGCACTGAAAGACGCTGAAACCACCAAGAACTGGCTGCACCACACTAAATGCCCATGTACAGTGTCCTGTTTTTCTAACAGCCGCCGGCCAGTTGTCTTTGGGAAGCTCAAGTCAGGCGTGAAAACAGTGCCCCCCTCCAGCCCCAGAGATAGACTGCCTTTGAACCTGGAAGTTCAGTTCAGCTTTCACAATTCTCTACCTCCATTCACTAATCTGCCGAATCCAAAATTTGAAAACTGTCCCCTCGGTTTCTGGCCACCTCCGCAGCTTGTGAGTGTGAATCCCATCCATTAATTATTATGAGTTGAGTGAACAAATACACCCCTGTTTGTCAATCTTGAACTGACTGCTAATTATTTCCACTGGGTGAGTCCTATGGGAGAGAGAGGGGATGAAAACAAGTTTGCCTGTCTGTCTTGCAAATTAAATTTTATACAATTCTACCCTGATCTCCTCCCAGTAGTTGTCTTGTCACCAAGAGCTTCTCATCTTCTGTCTTCAGAAAGATGCTCCAACCTGGGTCATGTCACTTTCCCCTTTTCTGTATGTTTCACAGGTCTGTGTTTTGTTGCATTTGTATACTGCCTTTCTGCCAACGCATCCAAAATGGTTTGCAATTTTAATAACAGAGATAAAATTTACTGTGACAGAGTCCTTTCTGGCTGGGCTGGAAGCTGATGGCACAAGCACACCCTGACCTGGGCTCTCTCGCTTCTGCCTTCCCCTGAGTCACACAGATCTCTACGGCATCATACTCATAACCTGTTCCTGAATTTTAAAAAGTTGAACCTTTCCCCCCAGAGAGCCAATAAGCTGTCTGTCTGTTAATTAAGCACAATGATTTACCTGCTCTTCATCAAACAACCCTAAAACAGATTACAATATTACAAGAAGCCAGCAAAAGTGAGTGCATGTAAAATAGAATTAAAAATTCCAACATAAAAACTCCATCAGTTACAGCAACGCACTAGCATCCTGCAGCATCTGGGACAAAGAGACTGGTTTAAACAGGGCACCGGAATGTCAACAATGCTGGCACCCACTGTATTTCCAGAGGCGAGTGCATTCCACTCTCAGGGTGCCATGAAGATGAAACCCACATCCTATGTCACCACCCCACATATATCCCCTAGTGATGGGGCAATGAGAAAGACCTCTTCCCCAGATCTAAGGACCTGGACAAGCTGATACACAACATAAAAGAGCCCTGTTGTATCAGACCAGAACCTCTTCTAGGCCAGAAGTTGACAACCAAATGCTTCTGGGAAACCAGAAAGCAGAACAGCACACGTATGTATGCACAACCCTCAGAATCCAACATGTTTTGCACTGGGCGAGCAGCTGCCAGCCTCAACGCTTCCATCCATATAAAAGGGATAATCTCAACCTGCGTGGAAAGACTAAAATGTATTATTACAACCTTTTACAAAGCTAGGCCCTTACAGCTTGTGTTAGGGGACAGATAACTGTTCATTCCCATTTTACAGGTTGGAGGACTGAGGTCTAGAGAGAGGGATTTGCCCAGGGCCCACACAATGGTGTCTGCAGCAGAGTGGGATTTGATTGACTTCCGCACGGCAGCATCTCCACTTTCCTTAGCCACACTGGACCAAATTGGGTAATGTGAAGATGAATATGCTATACAGAGGTTTGGGAATGATTTGCACATTTACAGAGTACTGTTAGAAAATAATTAATATAATATAGATATTTGGGCGCATTGAAATATGAGAAATGACTCACCGTATCAGACCAAAGGTCTGTCTGGTCCTGTATTCTACCCCAAAGATGGCCATCCCTCCCTAAGTTGAAATTTAGAGGTATACTGCTTCCAGGGTTCAATTTAGATACCATAGCCTAATAGCTATGGATAAATCTCTCTGTGAAATGGCCTCACAACAGCAATTGTATACACATTCATCTGGGAGTAAGTCCCACTGAACTCCATGGGATTTATTTCTGCATAGGATGGCTCTGTAATCCTTATTATTCTATCTTTAAAAAGCCATTTGTGGCCTTCACAACATCATGCTGGTGGGTTCCATAATTAGGTGTTGGAAGAAACACAGAAAAAGACCAACTCTCTTCTGGTCCAAAACCCATCCATCACAATCACTCAACTGAGTGGGCAAACAAAACCACATAGAAAGCAAAACAAAAACAAAAAAAAATTTTTGAAGTGTCAGCAACCAAACAGCAAATGACCCTGAACTCAGTGAAGTAAGCACTGGATAGCCTGAATTAAATGCAATTATACTACAATCAGCCTGAGGGGGCTTAACTTCCTCAAGTTTAGAAGGCGAACCCCACATGCCAATTTCTAGCTGAAATTTTATTTGTATTCAGAAGAACACTAATTCTAGAAAGTTTGCAACCCAACAAAACAAAAAACCTAGCAAATTTTATAATTCACACACACACACACACACACACACACAAAGGTACATGAGAAATGTCCTCATTGCGAGTCAGCCCATTGGTCCATCTAGCTCAATACTGTTGACACCAACTGGCAGCAGCTCTCAAGGATTTCAGACAGGGAGTCTCTCTCTCTCCTTACCTGGATATGCTTGGGATTGAACCTAGGAGGTTCTGTGGTCTTTTGCCATACACTTGGGACTTGCAGCACCATCATATAATCTATATGCTATGGCATTGGAGGACTAAAGTCCACAATATAGACTCCCTACAACAGCCATCCGGTTATTTGACAGACCAAATCCATCCAGCTCCTAAGAGGTCCTCAGTCAAGAGTGGATTTCCGCTACCTTGCTTAGGAAACTCCTAAGAGTAACAATCTTTAAAAATTATGGCCACTTATGTTAAGAGTCTAGGGACAGGGGGCTGTCTTCATCATCAACATTACTGATGGTGATTTTTAAAAGTTATTGTTACGACCCCTCTTTCTTACCTGCACCAAATCCATTCTCACAAAGCCCACCTTTTCCATGAACCCTTTGGTACAGCCTTCTAATCCCCAATGCCCTCCTGTAATGGTGCCTGTTACCAGAACTAAGTATGTGCAACTGAAATAAATCATATGGGGTTCCCCCTGTTTATGCCTCCCCAAGTCTTTCTTCTGTGGACAAATTTTAGGTTGTAAGCTCTTTGGGGAAAGGGACCTTTTATGCTCCTGTATTCTGCAAAGATTTACACCCTTACAGTATAAGAATCAACAACAGCAGTACTAACAACTGTCTGACTACCCACCACTTCCTAACTCCTGCCTTGTACTGGTGATACTCACGAGCAGACCCGTCGAAAATCAATGGATATGACAAACATAGGCTCATTCACTTCAATGAGTCTATTCCAAGTAGGTCTTGGCTATGACCCCCTGCCTTCCAAACCAAGATTGTGCTGCCTGGAGACTGAGAGCGGGCCCCCCCTCAAAAAAAAGCCTTTTGGCAGGGAGAAAGGTGTCCACATTTCCACCCCACCCCGTCGCGAAAATATCCAACAAACAATAGAATTCCTGAAGCAGAGCTCTGTGGGACTCAAAAAGCTTGCATCTCTCTAAGCGGACAGAAGTGGTTTAAGACAGACAGACAGACAGACAGACAGACGGACGGACGGACCATTTACCAGTTTTGCAGCTCGGAAAACAACCTTCTGCAGCTATCCTCGCTTCAGAGCAGAGGGGAGAGGAGCTTCTACCAACGCGTTTTCGGGCTGCAATCCAATCCACGCTTACCTGGGAGTAAGCCTCCCTAAACTCACTGGCGTTTATTTCAAAGTAGCCATGCATGGCACAGACCTGAGCTGTTAAAAACTCAAGTCCCAGACGAAGTTTCAGCGTGGCCCCTTCTGAGGCGAAGAGGAAGAAAGGAGAGGGGAAGCTTTTCGCTATTTTTTTCTACCACCCCCCTTCCCGCTTTTTGGGGCAATCTCTACATCTATCTTTTAGGTGGAGTTCAAAGCGACAGAGCACTTAAAGAGTCAAAGTCTTATTCCCCTCCCGGCCAAGATACAGGGCGGGGGGGGCGGGGGGGGTAAGAACCTCATCTCACCTTCCTCAGAACTATATTTGGTATTTTAAAACACTTACCGGAGCGAGATTCACTTAGTTTCAAACTGATTTGATTAATTTGGGGAATCGATTAGGCTTGGGAGGAAGGAAAAAGGATATTCGGGGAACCAATTTAGCATTTGGAGAAGAGGGGGCATGAATAAGTCAAATATTATTGGGCCCAGACTGTTCAAGCAGCGAAACAAAGCAGAAAGGGGACTTGAAGAAGAAAATCGAAGTCCCTGTGGCATTTAAGATGCCTCAAAAACACACAAGCAAACACCATATCATTTAAAGACAAATCGAACTTACATTTGATGGCATTTTACATTCCTGGGGGAGGAGAATTTTGTGGCGTTAAAGGCTGAAATATTAAAGATACGCGGGCAAACATATCCATCATATATATATATATAAATATATATAATGTATACATACACACACACACCAGTTAGTCCGGTGGATTAAAAACAAATATACATCTATGCTATTAATATTCCCACCCTGTTCCAAAATAGCATGTTTACCTGGAAAATAAGCGCTACTTACTCATACGTGGGACTCACTTGGAAGTAAATAAGGGAGCCGGCTCGTTTTCTTAGCGCAAATGAAAACTGATCCATTAGCTGTTCTGAAAAATGTGCTATTTATGATATATATGGCGGCCAAAACTGTACAGTTACAAATATTATTGACTGGGCCTTTTGATTTGCTTCCTCCGAGGGAACTTGTAAATTCATTATTTTTTTTAGGTGGGGGAATCAGGGCCATCGTCACTCCCCCTAACTGTCCATGAACCCTATAGCAATGTAGTTTGGGGGGGTGTAGAAAATTGAAAGAGCCCCCCGATTGAATGAAGGAGGGGAGAAAAACACGTTTGCAAGAGAGGTTACGCCTCCCCCCCCTATAGCGAGTGTGATTGGGGTGGGTCGGTCAGGAACCGATTCATTTTGGGGTTTGGGAAGGGTGGGTTTGTAGGGTGCGGGGCGGGAATTGCAGAAGAAATGGCGATGTGGAGATTTGATGGCTCCGAGGGCAAAACTTGCAAAAAGTTAATTATATATTTCCTGCACCAAAACAACAGTCTGGAGTTTGCTTCTCTCTCTCTCTTTTCTCCACTCCCCCGAAAAGAGGATGGTTATGATCCCAAACCCACTTACTCCGCAGCGATTCCTTTTCTTTCGAATGGGGATTGACACCGGATTAAATAAGCGGAGTAAATATATCACACGCATATTGTACATACATGCTACCTCCTTACCTGCAAAAAGCAAATGTCTAGAGCAGTGTCAGTTTTAATGGGATGTGGAAGAGGAAGGTGGTGGAGGGGTCTTACTTTTGAGTAAAGAGGCCGAGCCTTAATAAACACCCCCCCCCAAATTACTGCGGGAGAGAGAAGGCTGCTTCGCTCGTCTCCACAACCTCAGTTCTGATAGGATGAAAAGAGTCAAAGAAATTGACCCCCAAGGAAATAATTTTTTTAACATATACTATACAGTATGCACACATACATAAATATGAGACAGCACAAAATTAAGAGGATCCAGAAGTACGAAAACACAGCTGAAGGTGAACAATTGGCTTCCTCGGTGCCGATATCAGAACACAATGGAGAGTATTCAGTCGGTGCCAAATGGTGCGTTTCCTCCACCCCCCGCTCCGCTAAAAAATAAAGCCTCCAACATTTCAGCCTGTAATAAAGAAACGATTTGGGAAAGCCTGCGAAATGTCACCAGGCGGTGGACACTGCCAGCGCTTCGGACACAGGAGGCTGGAATCCTACCTACAACTTACCTGGGAGTAAGCCCCCGTTGAACACGGTGGGGCTTACTTCCAAGTAAACAGGGTTCACACGGCAGGGTTGTCGACCTTCTCTGGCCAAGCTTTGCTTCGAGTGAAACTGGCTCAGAGAATCGTGGGGTTACCTCGGGTTAGGGACAAATTCTTGTGTGAACTCCTTAACTCCTATATTCTTACAGAATCCGAGTTCTTTTTCAATGTGTCATTTAGTGCAAACCATAAGCGCGTTTATTCGGAAGTTAAAGATGCAGTCCTCGGTGTGCTTACTTTGGAGGCTGCTCCATTGAACACAGCGGCACAGGCTAGGGCGTTGAATGGCATTGGATTTAGCAGCTAAGTATGCATAAGATTGCACATTTACTCCACACACATGCATACACACGCACGCACACAGATCTAAATATGTTTAAATTTTAAAAAAAATGAAAAAATGAGCATTTTGCTCTCTAAAAAGGGTTTTCTACATTTAACATGGATATTTGTTCAAAATGTCCTGGTGCTAAAATATCCTATATTAAAGCATCCAGAGAAATAGACAAAGATCCACAATCTTGCAAATGTCCTTCTGAGAACCAACCAGAATATCAGAAAAAATAACCAGCAAACTGTTGGTTTTATTCAGAAATTAAGATCCTTCCTACGAAACTTTGTAGTAGTTTTCTGCCTTCAACACCCTATTTTTAAAAACACATAAATAATTAAAATAGCAAAACGAGACGCATACAGATGCTCTCAAGCGACTTGCTTTGGGAAACAAGTCACTTCGCTCTCCTAAAATGCGTACGTGGCATTAAACATGGAACGGGATTGACTCCGGAGTGAACTCAGCGGTTCCACGCACATTCAACCCGCTCCGAAGCATGTTTACTCAGAAGTAACCTCCACTGGTTTCAATGGGACTTCTTTCCCAGTAAAGAGAGATTAGAATCCCATCCTGATCCTTGGGCATTTCTGGCCGACCTTAATGGCAGTTTCATATGCATACATACATACATATATATTCATATATACGCGTCATGTTTTCCCCGAAGTAAACCCCTCAGAGTTCACTTCTATGGAAGTGTGAATAGGATGGCAGCCCGGAAATTATTTACTCGGAATAAAGCCCAAATCTGTTCTTGCGCCTTAAATCCAGGCGGCATGCAGGGCAAATGGGTCTTAGGTGTCAGCCCGTGGACACAAACGGATCTGGTGCGTAAAAGCGCCCCCAAAAGCGAGGTCGGCCGCCTGGAGGAATCAAGACCTTGTAGGCCCCAGCTGTGTGACAGGGCCGGGGAATGCATCTAGTTCTACATATCCACGCTGAACGGGGAATTAAGTTCCCATGAGCTCCAATAGGGCGCCCTCCTTTGTGAATTATGGCCCGCTTCCACTGCAACCCTAACAACACCCATTCTTTTCTCAAACTGCGCCCATCGAGTTCGATGCACCAAGAAGGAGTGTTTTAAGGTTGCAACTTAAAAGTGACTCTCCGTGGATATGAATCTCTGGGAAGAAAACCTGCGGAGTTGCACCCAACGTTTCAGTCCTGCTCAGAGAAAGAACCATTGCCATTCATGGACATGACTAATTGATTTCAGTAGATGGTCTCGGAGTACAATCTAGTTGGATACAAACCATAGTTTTGATTATTATTATTATTTTTTATAAAAAACATGCTCGCACAGATTAGTCGTCATTAATTCGGATTTATGTATTTAATTTCAAAGCTTGCTTTAACTTAAAAAAAAAACCATTAATGTAGGGTGTGTTTTTTTCTTCCTTTCTAGGTCCTCTTTTCAGGCTTTCTTGCAGAAAATGGAGAGAAATTAGAACGAGAGAGATGGCTGGGAATCAACGAGCCAATCGCTTCTACTGCCTGTTGCCTCCGCATCTAGAATGTAATATAGCCACAACTTCCGTTGGGATGGGTAGCGTTGGCTTCCGAAGGAGGCATTTAAGACTCTCTTGTCCTGCAATATCCCCGTCCATCCTATAATCTGCAGTCCGAGATTTTACTTGGAAGTAAACTCCTCCTAGCCAGTGAGCTTTTACTCTTCCAGACAAGCACCCATAGCTGGCAGCCTCGTGGTTGTAACCAGCTAAAAACTACTCGGAGTAGATCCACTGAACTGGAAGATTAGTCATGCCCATTCATTTCAAAGGATCTTCTCTGAGCACGACTGACGTTAGATAGAACTTCCGCCCCCCCCCGCCCAAAAAACACCGGTGTGAAGGCAGCTAAATCAGGAGAGATCCATTAATTTTCTTTCCCTCCCTTCTGAATATATCAAAAATTTCGCGATTTTAGATTATTGACTAGGATGAGAATTGGATTCTGGAATTTTACCATATTATAGAGATCAATCAACCCTTTTAACTTTGCTCGATTAAGGGCACCGACATCCTTCCAAAATGAAAAGGGGCTTTTTTCTTTTGTCAAGGCGCAATTCTGAGCGCCCTGGTTAGGGCAATGAATCCTATGGAGTCCATTGGTATTTTACTTCTGAGCAGAGATGTATAGGATCGCTCTGCGGGTATAAATGTCAAGGACAAGGATTAGTAGTGAAATCCCATGCATGTTTACTCAGAAGTCCTATTTAATTCAATGGGACTAGGGAATGTGTTGATTTAGGAACTAAACCCCATCGATCGCAATCTGAGTTTACCTCTGAGTAGACATTACAGTATGTTAAGCAGGTGCTCAAATTGTCTGCCATCGGGACACCAAGAGCGCTTACCTTGCGATTGTTTAAATGCGGCGTTTGTTAAGGGGTGGAGGTCCACAGCTAGTATTTATAAACCAATAGAAAAAATGCATATATATAAAATGGAGGAAAGCAAACACGCAAAGAAATGGGGAAAAGAGGATAGGAAAGTGAGGACAGAAAGAAAAATAGCAAAGAAAAAAATCCACAAAATAGGGGAAAGGGGGGGAGTGAAGAAAATCTGATAATAAAAAGTAGAGTTTAAAACTGTAACAGCACCTGAGAGTGAACTATTGAAAGATACTTTTAAAAACTCTCCTCTTCAACCACTTCAGAAGAATAAAAAAAATAATTCAAATGCAATGCATGGTCTCTGTAGCACAGAATATGGTTTTTTTTAGAAGCGGGTGCTTTTTTGGGGGGGGGGGTAGAATTACTGTCTGCGATTTTAAATGCCTGACCTCTTCAGCTAAATCCACAATGATTAGTTTTCAAAGCTTAACCTCCGCCAACTTTGTATTGTATCCATATGGATAATGGGAACCCTCCAGAGAACATTTACACGCGTGCAAAGGCACGTGTGGATACTTGTCTAGTGAGGCGTGCAAAAGGAAGATGTCTGGATAAACGTCCGCAAGTACAATCCCAAGCGCAAAACTTGAATTTTGCCACCGCCGTTAATGGGTTGTTGTGTATTGCAGCCTATCTGTATGTACTAGTATACCAGTGACACGTCATAGATATATAGATATATATAAAATATAACTGGATATATAAAGAGTTGCCAAAACAAATATATTTCAGCGCGATCCTAACATTTTCGGGAAACCCCTGGGACTTAAAGTGTGCATAGGACTGCAGCATTATCTAGCACCCTCCAACAGGCTACATCTGGGCTATCCCATTTTAAATTATTCATACACAGGTCTACTCATGCGCCGCTGAGTTAAATGGGACTTCCTTCAAAGTAAATTGCATAGATAGGATTGCAAGCTAGAAATGACATTAAAAAGGTTTGTGGTGTCCAGATCTTAGAACCAATTGTATTCCGATTGCAATTAAAAAACAAAACAAAACCATAATTAAACACGCATTTATCTGCCATCCTAGAGACACACCCGGGTAATTCAGCGGGGCTTGCTTTTGAGTAGACCTATACTGTATATAATGCACTGTTATTCACTTTTATTTGCAATATTATATATACACACACATTTATTGCATAACATAACAAGGGGAGATTTATCTTACCTCAGCTTGTTTTAACTCGACTCCAAAGATTGCCTTTCCTTCCCACCCTCCAAAAAATAAGTTTTGGGGGGAATTTTTTTTACAAGGACTCTTGTTTTCCGTGGACCTTCCACGAAAGACAATGGCATTTAGGAAACAAACAACGCAAAACACTACTGGTTCTTTATGGGACAAGATTATCTCCCTCCTTAAAAAAATTAAAGACTTCTGTCCCCCCCTTTTTTTCTATCCTTGAAAGTGAATTTAAACCCCCTAAACTCACTCCCACCATCACGTGGTGCTGAAATTGGGAACAGAAGCAGATTTGGAAGGCGGGGGAGGGGGGGAAAGTAAACTGGGGTCAGCCTTTTAATGAACCATTTTCCCCCAGACCTTAAATATATTTATGTATATAATCCGGGGCTGTCTAGAAGTTTGATACTGAAGGAGAAGGCGGGAGCAGGGAAGAGAAGGCTTTTGTGGCGGCGGTGAAAAAAGCAACCCCAGAGCAAACCTCCTATTTTAAAAAGGTGGGTTGTTGTTACCTGTTGCTTATATCAGAGGAGCAGAAGGAAGACAAACAGGTGCTGCGTGCGATTATTTGGCTCTGAAATATAACATTCTCTCCCCTTTCCTTCAACAGGGGCAACTTTTATCATGAGGGAAAAGCCAAACGCGTGTTCTAAATGTAATAACCCTTTTGCTTGTGTTTTGTTTGTTTGTTTGTTTGTTTGTTTGTTTAGGGGCGACCTAAAGGGTGGAGAAGCTGCCCAAAGCCTGACTTAGGAGAAAGCTCTCCTTAACTCAATGGGAGGCTTACTTCTGAGTAGACGTGCTTAGGATGGCGCAGTTACCCTGCCAACTTAAGCCCTCACTGGGCACGCCGTGGGGCTTCTTCCTCTTAAGTAACTGGTCCCTGCATAGGGAGTGAATGGCTAGGCTGGATTTCTGGAGAGCTTGTGGCGACCTTCCCCTTTTCTTTTTAAAGGAGTTTGGTCTCATGTCATCGAATGATGTCATTAAATATTTGGATGATCAGCCTGAAGTTTTCCAGGTTAGATTTTTAGATGCTTGTGCGTGGGGTTTTTGTTTTTTTAAAATTAACCCTCCCTCACTACATTTTAAAAACTGAAGCCATATCTATCCATTTCTTGAGAACACCGTGTTGAAGTCAAGAAAGGATCTAGGGAGGTAAGGTCCCCCCCCCCCGCAAAAAAATATCTCTGCCTGATTTTGTGAACGCAAAGATAACCCATTTCGTTTGTTTGTTTGTTTGTCTGTTTGCGCCCCCCACTTTGTCCAAATCGACTTCCAGTTTTGCCTTGCGCTTTCTCTCTCCCGCCCCTCCACCTCTGGCAAATGTTGTCCCCCTCCCCCAATTTAAATGATCTGGTGTTTTTCAACACGAGCTTTTACACACTTAAAAAAGAAAGAAATTCAGTTCAAATTCGAAAGATCATTGATTTATGTAGCGCGACCAAAGCCCCGAGGCGCTTACAATGCAAACCATCGGGACGCATTAAATTGTAATACTGAGAGAGACTTGCGTGGGGGGGGGGCGGTGCTGTTTTTAAACAATCCTGGTGTTCCTTGCTGAGTCTTCTCTCAGCCGATTTGCGTTCAAGGAAGCGCTCGGGGAACGTTTATTATTAGACAGTCAAGCTATAAACACCATCCCAATTTTGTTAAAAATTGCTGCTAAAGGGTTTCTTGCTTCGTTTCAGCGTTCTTTTTTTTTTTAGCATAACCTGAGAAGGACAAGTGAATAAAAGGCGAATGATTGGCACAAAATAGCTAGTGGAGTGGTCAAAAGTGGCAGGAGCGAAGCCGGACAGCCATCACACCCTGGGGGCTATTTCAGTCCCCGACGCGCGTGTGTCTCGTTGTGATTGGCCCGTGGCGACGCACAGATACTCTGCACACGCTCTAGGCACTCTTGTTATTGCCTGGCATATAGGCCCCGCATCAAATTAAACTCTGGCAACGAGTCCACTTCACATACAACACCCCAACGAGCGGCGGCGGAACTAGGGAGGGGTCGCATATTTTTTAAAAAATGCTTCCAACCCAGTAACCCCAAACCCAGTGACCACCTCTCCGTACTTACTTCCAAGGAAGGGGTTCCGATCCTGCTGCTGGAATGTTGCATGTTGTTGCTTTTAACTGCCTAAATCCATGCCTACCTACAAAGCAATATGATGCATGCTCTGAGTAATCTTATGAGTGAGTCGGCCAATTGGTGCCAAAGAAGGATAGAACTTTTTTTATGTATGCCACAACAGCAGCAAGAATATTCATTGCAAAGTATTGGAAGACACAAGATCTACCCACTCTGGAAGAATGGCAGATGAAGGTGATTGACTATATGGAACTGGCAGAAATGACTGGCAGAATCCGGGACCAGGGAGAAGAGTCGGTGGAAGAAGATTGGAAGAAATTTAAAGACTATTTACAGAAATATTGTAAAATTAATGAATGTTAGAATGATGTTGGATAGAAATTAAGTGGTTTTTAGCTGCAATACTATAAGGGAATATGAAAAATGGATTACTAACAGGTAAAAATGTAATGTTACAATATTTTAAGATTAATGATTAGGATAGACAAAGAGGGGAAGGATTTGCTGAACCAACAAACCGAACTGGAATACAAAAAAGGGAGGCGTGAGGAGGTCCGGGAAACAAGCTAATGAAAAATAAGTAATGGAAAGATTGAGTTGTTTTTAACTATTTTTATTTGTTGTGTTTTTCTTTTTTCTATTTTTATTTTGTAATATTTTGAAAATCTTAATAAATATCTTATTAAAAAAAAAAGAGTAATCTTATGAGTGGACTCCATCATTCAGGAGTAGCATTTACTTCCATGCGAAGTAACCTGGGGGCAAGTCCCATGGCACGTACTTCTGTGTAGACATGCACAGCCTTGCTCACTTGTCCCATGGAGCTTACTCTAGAGAGAGTCCTGCTGAAGAGTGAGGGAGTAAAACAGGGATAGAATTCTTGGAAAGAGTGTGAAATACACTCTGGTTGTGAGGCTTGTGGGGCTAAAAAAAATGGGAGGTGACCTATGCAGAATAAGAGGCCCATATTACACAATTACACTGGAGGAAGGTCCCACTGGGGCCTACTGGTCTTGCTCCCAGTAAGCAGAGTTAAAAGTGTGTAGGTTTGCTTCAATTTAACCCACTGCAAATTTCATTTTAATTTAAAGTCTGCCTAAGGCTGCTTCAAGCTGCAATGGGGGAAAACTGTGCTTATAAGGGGAAATATAGCCAGTTTCCTAGAGGCACAGAATTCTTCTTCAAAATGTGACCTTTTTTAAAAGCCATATTCTCCTTCCATAAATGGTCAAAATTTAGGAAAGAGGTACTTAGTCTACATATCCCCGAAGATCTGGAAATGCCCTCTGTGTCCTCTTCTCCACTGCTTCCCCCCCCCCCCAAAGATTCCACAAAGGTATCCTACACACTCTTTTTGAGGTGTGTGGATGTGTGTAACTTTTCCAGATCTCACACCTTTAGGAGCCAAATAAACCAGCTTTTTCCTGCAGACCCAAAATCTTAGTAATGGGAGCAGTCCAGTCCGGAAACAAGGAATGACCGGACAAAGTTAAGGTGAAACAATTAATTAAATTTCTAGTGATTTATTTCCACAAACATCTGAAAAGGATTTATCACTATTATTTGTTTTGAGTGGCCAACAGGAGAGAAAGAGAAGCTTTCAGCTAGGAGCTGGGTAGCTGTTTCCCAAAATGTTTGGGGGGGGGAGTGTTTTAAAAGAGAAATAGCAAGCAGCCAAAATGAGTCCTCCCCTCTCTTCCTTCTGTCTTGGACAGAATAGGGGAACAAAATTGTTTATGTGAAGTGGGCGACACCAATGTAAAAATGTCTGTTCTTGCCTTTCCCATTCATAAGTTGCACAACTTTGCCATCCATATAAATGGCCTTTTCAAACATTCCTTTTTGGGATGGGGATTTGCATGAACTAGTCGAAGTACATTTAAATCTCAGAAATTTCCCATTGAAATGCAACATTAAAATGTGGCCTGGTTTGGTTGAGTTGCACACTTAAACATTCTACCCCACTCTCACTTTTCTCCCTTAATAGCTGAACAGTTTGTATTTCTAGGGAGAGGTATTATTCATTAGGTCATTATTTTCTTTTGCCATTTCTTTAAATGGAAATTTTTACTGGGCAAACATCTTACAGAGGCCAAGGAATGGGAGACCATTTTGATGCAATCCAAAAAGACTGTTCTTGCCAGTAATCTCTGCATGTTTAGTCAAAAGCAAGCCCTACTAAGTTTAATGAAGCTTTCTCCTTTGTAAAGTGTGTTTAAGATTGCAATCCAATCCAATGCATATTTGCTGGGGAGTAAACCCTTGCTTTGCTCAGTGGAACTGATGGACAAGTAACTTACAGGCTGGCCCTATGTTTACTCAGAAGTAAATTTTAGCAGATTCAATATTGATTTACTATCAAGTAAGTTTGCATAGACAGGACTGTAGATATGCAATCTGATCTGCCTGGATGTTTACTCTGAATTAAGCTACACTGTATTCAGTAGGGGTTACTTCCAAGTAAATGTGCAACCTTACAGCAAGAGCCTAATCTTTACTCAGAAGCACCATTGGATTGTATCTGGCTAAATTCTACTCAGAGTAGACCCACTAAAAGTAAGGAACCCAAGTCAGTCACACCTACTCACTTCTGTGGGTTTGCTGAGAACAGAGCTAACATTGGATACAACCCACTCTCTCCCCCTCCCTAATAATTGTGTTTAGAATTGCTGTCTCAGACATCCCACTCCTTTACTTTTTTGTAAACTTAACCAAAACTTAACTCCTGAAACATAACATTCAATGTACAAAATGAAGCATCCAGCCATTTTCATCTACTCAGACAAGACCTTCAATGCTGGAACTCTTCTAATAAAGTTTAATAATTTTAGTGTTGAATTAATAGCTTGGCTTAGATTTCTTTAACCCAAATATAGGAAGGATAGGGTTTTCCCATCCATCTTGGGGTTGGTTTGTTGTTTAGCACAAAGCAAAACAATAATGTACTCACTTTGTGATTATGTAAAAGACCAAATTAAGGAGTTTCAAAAAACAAACAAAACAGTTTTTAAAATTCTGAATCTCCCCATCCCCCTTGCCATTGACAATCGCAAAAGATATACAATCATATTGGAGCAATTAACATCGCTTAGCCTTCGGAGAGCATTACCAGTCCTTTGAACATGGCCTGCTGTACACCGGTTTTTGTGAGGTATACATTTGAGCTTTATATAATAAATCTCCAAGAGAGGGGCTGGCATGCATGTGCATTTCCTCCTCGAAAGAGGAACTGGCTCAGTTCCCCACACTTCCAGCCACCAACTACAAATTCAGGTGTATTTATTCAATCAAAGTGCCCTGCAACACTTTCTGACTGTGTTTTAAGACCCAGCTTTTGTGAGAGTTCAGTAAAACAGAATAAGAGTAATGGGAGCAATGTTTTTACATTGGATTTTGAGCAGAGGTAAACAACCTGTAGCCCTTCCAGATGTTGTCAGACTACATCTCCCATCCTCCATGGCCATTGGCCACAGGAGCTGGGGCTGACGGGAGCTGGAGTCTAATAACGATAGGAGGGCCACAGGTTTCCCTTGCTGCCCTACCAGAGACTATGCACAGGACTCAAGACATGCATGATATAGATTCACAGTGCCATCGCCAGAAGAAAATTATTATTCATTGGACAGGCAGCAAAGCATCTTTACCATAAAGTAAAACCCACTTCGTTCAATTGGCTTTTCTCAAGTAAGAGTTCACAGGATTGCAGCCTTAAATGCTTAGCTTGGGGTTTGGATTCTGCCCTTAAACTTTTGTAACAACACAATAAGGGGCTTGAAGGATCAGACCAAAGGTCAGCTAGAGAAGCTGACAAGAAAGGCATCTAGGCACTTCTCTCATTTGTCCTCTGTGTCTATTCCTCAGAGGTGTACTGGCTTGGAGTGTGCAGGTTCCCTTAAGCTACTAGTAGACCCCTGTTTTCCTCCATTAAATTTGTTTGATCCATTTATCCAAGACAGTGGCCACAGCCATGTCTTGTGGCTATGAGTTCCACAAACTGAACGAAGCACTTCTCTTTGTCATTCCAAAGGACATCAGAAGAGCCCTGCTGGATCAATCAAAGGCCCATCTGGTCTGCTTAATTGGATGTCCCTGAGTTGTAGTATCATGAGAGAGGAAGACAAAAATTATCTCTACTGTATCCACTTTCTCTACACCATGGAGACTCTTGAAGCTATGGCCAATCAGCTTGGGTGACCCACTAGTTCAGGCATAGGCAAACTTGGCCCTCCAGATGTTTTGGGACTACAATTCCCATCATCCCTAACCACTGGTGCTGTTAGCTAGGGATGATGGGAGTTGTAGTCCCAAAACATCTGGAGAGCCGAGTTTGCCTATGCTTGCACTAGCTCTTCTTAGACCCCCCCCAAATTGCTATATCTTCCTCTCTCTCCATCCCATCTATATACTTTTATAAACAATTATCTTAGTTGTATTCAAGCCCCGCAAAACCTCAGCTATGATTTTTGTACAGTCAACTGTTTGAGCAGGAGCACTTTTAGTATTTTACTTTAAAATAAAATAAAGCAGTCTTAAAAGGTTTTCTCTGCCTTAATGTATTTTTTTTAAGAAACAATGTCTATAATGTAAACAGAGAAAGTGAGTGTTTGTACCAAAAACTGTCAGAACACACTGCTTTGAACTTCTCTTCAGATTCCTTGGGAAGGATGGAAGAGACAGTGGGAAAATTAAATAATGAATTACACATACTGGGCTCTAATGACACATTTTTTAAAAAGCCAACAATGGTCAGCATGATAAACTTGGACGAAGTTGAGGTTCTTATCTCCTATCCTCTTTTCCTTTATTAGCCAGAGTTTTAGGCATGTGGAACTGAGCATCAAAGCTGCTTCAAATTACAAAGAATTGGTACACAAGAACACAGGAAGCTGCCTGGTACTGAGTCAATACCATTGGTCCATTTAGCTCAGTAATTAAGGATGGGGGAGAAATTCAATTTGGTTCTAATTTAAAAGCAAACTTACCTAGTTCACACTTTTCCAGAACAATATGTGAACCGAAACACAGCCATCCATGAACATTTGCAGTTCTCCAAATTTTGCAATGCAGTCCTCCAGCCAACTAATGCATACCCCCCAAAATGCATATATTGAGGTGTCTTGAAATGCATAGATTCGTGAAAATAGCATTTAAAAATGCATTACATTAGGGGAAAGTGCATTGCAAAAAAATTTCATACATGCTTTTATTTTTTAAAAAAAATGCAAAGTGGTATGGAAATGCAGAGAACTAAATTTAAGATTGGCAAAACAAGACACCGAAATCGACAGATTCATCCTTCCCTACTTAGTATTGTCTAGGCTGACGAGCAAGTATTGACCCTGGGATCTTCTGCATGCAAAACAACTGCACCACCACTGAAAAGAAATCAGAAAGCTGCACTTCTCCTTGGTATGAAATGCGACCGAAGATGAAAAAACAGAAAACTGAGATTGGCAAATCATGCCTCATTCCTGATCAGGATCCTACTGGCAATCTGATCTGTATTTACTTCAGAATCAAATACTGTAAATTAAAACATTTCTCCTAAAAGCCTCTACCACTGTTTCCCCACCCTGTCAGGACCCT